CAAACCAAACCAAACCAGTCACAGGGAAATGTGGAGTTCATAACAAAATATGAAGATTACAGGAACTGTAATGTAGTAATAGCACTTAAAACAATGTACTGAGGTGACATGGAGTGAGGTGAGCTAAAGTGACAGTACTTTTACATCAAACTCTACACATGCCAATTTGTGTTCCTAGTACATTTTTGCCAGTTGATTGAAGTTCAATGAATTAGCCAGGCTATACCTGACAGTAACGTCGATGGAGCTGGCCTAATGTACCTGAGTAACGCCAGGAGTCTACTGTACAGCTTGATATGCTTGTTTTTTAGTCTACAGGGTTTCCAAATATCTCATTATCAATCACTCTTTGACGTTGTGGTAAGAGGCTTGCAGCCCTCTGCAATGGTATACAGTCTAGAGATGTTACATATATACATTCATTCATACTTGGCTGCACATGTTGGGATCCAAGCTTCTAAAGCCATGAGAAAAGCCATGCGGAATAACTGATTAGTATGACCCTGAATAATGTTTGGGGCATTAAATCAGTTTGTCTCTATATCTGTCTGTCTGTCTGTTTGACTGACATGTCTGTCCTTCTGTCTCTCTGTTACAGACCTTTGGACGTTTTATACTTGTGTATAATCTTGTCTAGGTTAAATAGTCCATGTGTTTCCATCACATTTTCTTGACATTTAGAAGATTATTATATCCTCACACAACGAGCCATTGTGGGTATATAGGGATTTGCCCTTCTGTTCATACGTGCTTGTCATAAACAGTGTCACCATTCTACAGACTTCTTATCCGATTGTCACAAAACTTCACACACGTTTACAATCATCACCTCTTGAGTTTGGGTTTCAACCTACTGAAAATGTTGCAATCTGTACTGCATATCTGCAAGTTTAAAACCATACACAGAACCATATCCCCCGAGAGCAAAGATAATGTACTCTAGATAAACAGGGTAGGCAATATATCTGATGAGTACACGATTAAAACTTCCACTCTACCTGCAGTATTGAACATGTTGAGGATTTACTATATTTTTTAGGAGGGAGTTTAGCTTTTTATTTGAAGTTCTTTCTTATTCTCATCTAGCTACTGCTAAATGTCCTTTGCCAAGAATGTGTGACTCTACAACCTTATATCTATAAGAATACATGTAGTTAGGATTTATTGGTCTTGTGGGATAGAATTTCCTCAGACCTGGGTGAGAAATTTCTCATAACTCACGGAGAAACGAGTCACCTGAGACACAAAGTTATTTTTTCTCAGTATTAGATATGTCCAAATGGTTATTAGATAACAATCGGGATAGTGTGTGTTCACTTAATCCCAGACACAGCTAGTTCATAGCACACCATTAATCAAGGGGTGGGCAATGGCCGCTGATGTAGTCGACCACTCTTATGTTCATCACATCATACTAACGCATAAACAACGCTCTAACAATAAGGAAATAATCAATGACTGTGTAGTTATTATGGCAAAATAAAAAAAATAAAAAAAATGTTTAGAAAAGAAAACAAATCAGAGCAAAGTTACATTTTCCTCAATAAAACATACATGTAAATAGAAGTTGATTTGTAACTTCCAGCAAATACTCTCATCATTGCTTATAGGCAGTCTGACTTGTTACTGTGCGTAAATGAGGCTGTTTGATATGCAAATGAGATTGCTGAATTGCACGCCCTTGTTGGTGAAAGCGACAATTGCATTATTTGGTGAATGTTTTGCCTTGTCAAGTATGGTCAGAACCATGTTATCAAGAGTCAGGTATGGTCAGAACCATGTTATCAAGAGTCAAGTATGGTCAGAACCATGTTAGCAAGAGTCAAGTATGGTCAGAACCATGTTATCAAGATTCATGTGTGGTCAGAACCATGTTATCAAGAGTCAAATATGGTCAGAACCATGTTATCAAGAGTCAAGTATGGTCAGAACCATGTTAGCAAGAGTCAAGTATGGTCAGAACCATGTTAGCAAGAGTCATGTGTGGTCAGAACCATGTTATCAAGAGTCAAGTATGGTCAGAACCATGTTAGCAAGAGTCAAGTATGGTCAGAAGCATGTTATCAAGAGTCATGTATGGTCAGAACCATGTTATCAAGAGTCCAGTATTGTCAGAACCATGTTATCAAGAGTCATGTATGGTCAGAACCATGTTATCAAGAGTCAAGTATGGTCAGAACCATGTTATCAAGGGTCAAGTGTGATCAGAACCATGTTATCAAGAGCCAAGTATGGTCAGAACCATGTTATCAAGAGTCAAGTATGGTCAGAACCATGTTATCAAGAGTCAAGTATGGTCAGAACCATGTTATCAAGAGTCAAGTATGGTCAGAACCATGTTATCAAGAGTCAAGTATGGTCAGAACCATGTTATCAAGAGTCAAGTATGGTCAGAACCATGTTATCAAGAGTCAAGTATGGTCAGAACCATGTTATCAAGAGTCAAGTATGGTCAGAACCATGTTATCAAGAGTCAAGTATGGTCAGAACCATGTTATCAAGAGTCAAGTATGGTCAGAACCATGTTATCAAGAGTCAAGTATGGTCAGAACCATGTTATCAAGAGTCAAGTATGGTCAGAACCATGTTATCAAGAGTCAAGTATGGTCAGAACCATGTTATCAAGACTAGAAAAACATAGTATAGTTGGTAGTATTTGCGAGGGATTTAATTTTCATATATTTCTAATTTTCACCAAAGACAGCACGAAATTTTATACCCAGCAAATATTAATACCATTAGTTATAATATTCACAGAGACAAAGGGGAAAATCTGTGTGTAGAATGTCAGTTTCAACCTTTGTCCTGGCAAGTAATGAAATTAACATGTCGGCTTCCTTGAAATTAACGCCTATAACAGGATCAATTGCGAACAAGATAGGATTGTAAGCATACTTGTAGCCTGAAAACATAAAATTGCAAGGAGGTAAATTTCAACTGCTAAAATGAATGTGCCGACATAATTGGAACATGTGCATGCTTTACTGAGGCACGTGTGCATGATCTGTCATCCAATGATGCAATGATTTTGACCAATGAAAAGAATTGTTTCAGCACAGACATGGTAGAATGACAATTTTACCTTCAGTCTCCACTGTATACTTCAGGAGAACTATTAGAACTGGAGAGCAGCAAGTCTTGACACAGCACTAACATGGGTGCTAAGTAGAAGTGTCAAGACAACTGTTAAGACTTCAGATACTGAGGCGTAAAGGTACAACCTTGCGTGTGACATTTCCTTGCAGGATGAGACTAAAGGTACTAATGGTATATCTATGAACTTGTGTGTGGCATTTTTCTCACGAGTAATAGGTGTGGATTACTGTGACATTTTGTTACGGATGTCATTAGCTTTTAAATGCACTGTGATAGGTTCACTTCAGGAAGCTCATATAGGCTACCACGGAGTAGCTAACTATCAAAAAAACATATTTGCTTCTTTTAAGAACACTGCATTATTGGATATAGGTGAATTGGTGATACAGTATACATAAAGACCATAAGGGTAGTTTACTTCTGATAGAAATCTAGAAATGAGCCTGTCTGAACCAAACACCATCTGAACAGATCAGTTCTCTTCTGATTTTATAGGTTGATGCCTTTCAAAGTTTCTGTTTATGTTGAAATAAAAGCAGTGAATAACATTAAGTTATGTATATGTGTGCCTTTGTCATTACAGTGTGTTATGGTATTTGTTTCTGTAGAAGAATTCCATATGAATCACATCTTGCTTTATCTTTTACAGAATATTTTAGTATTTGGGGGGGAAAAGGACGCCTAGTGTCAAACTCAGGACCAACACACTGTAAATCCTACACTTTATCAATGTTGTTCTCCAGGAACGATATATGCTCTGCATCAAAATGAGAGATGCATACCCTGAGAAGGGAAGTAACTCCTAGGCAGAATTACTCCTTTTGTTGTTGATCTTTTCTACAGCATGGAGAAAACTCAGTTGAATAAAACAGCTCTTGAAACTCTTTTTCTGACAATGAATCTTTTAGATTTCATGTAGTTCTTATTTATCTTTGAAGGCATGAACATATTGTACAAAAATACAATGGCTCAAGCTGATTTACAAGTTGAGCAATATATGTTCCTAATTAATTAGCATATCTAATCTATCTGATAATCCCTGTAAACTGGTCAGGCCTGAAAAATCCCTGTATACTGGTTAGGCCTGATAATCCCTGTAAACTTGTCAGGTTTGATAATCCCTATAAACTGGTCAGGACTGATGATCCCTATAAACTGGTCAGGACTGATAATCCTTGTAAACTAGTTGGTCAGGACTGAAAAATCCCTGTAAACTTGTCAGGTCTGATAATCCCTGTAAACTGGCCAGATCTAATAATCCCTGTAAACTGGCCAGGCCTAATAATCCCTGTAAACTGACCAGGACTGATGGTCCCTGTAAAACTTACCAGGACTGATAATCTCTGTAAACTGGCCAGGCCTAATAATCCCTGTAAACTGACCAGGGCTGAAAATCCCTGTAAACTGGCCAGGTCTTATAATCCCTGTAAATTGACCAGGACTGATAATCTTTGTAAACTGGCCAGGCCTAATAATCCCTGTAAACTGACCAGGACTGATGGTCCCTGTAAAACTTACCAGGACTGATAATCTCTGTAAACTGGCCAGGCCTAATAATCCCTGTAAACTGACCAGGACTGAAAATCCCTGTAAACTGGCCAGGTCTTATAATCCCTGTAAAATGACCAGGACTGATAATCCCTGTAAACTAACCAGAACTGATAATCCCTGTAAACTGGCCAGGTCTGATAATCCCTGTTAAACTTGCAATATCCCATGGTAATAAACCGTAAAACTAAACCATTTAACACCTTCAGTATCTTGAGATGTAATGTTTTTGTTAGTTGTGTGTAATTTGAGGATGACGAGATGGGATTATTGAACCAACGACTCAATACACTGCAGACTGCTCCGTCACAGGTTTAATATAGTCACTAACAACGTAATGCCTGTCTCTGTTGTAGATGATGAAGAAAACTCTCTGCTGGCTGGAAAATTTGAGGTAAGGGTCAATTCTATTACAGCTTACCATGCTTGACCAAACAGATTCCCCTATCCCTCATAAGTAGCCCCTATCCTTTTTCTTGCCTAAGTGTCCCATCATTTAACCATAATTAACAGACTCATGCCGTGCTTAAAAAAGTGTATATTGAGGAAAAATTGTTCATTGGCATGGGCTTTCATTTAAGATTGAATGTGTTCATGTAATCAGTCTTTGTTGTATGCAATTAATACATATTAAGTCAGTTCTGATACTTTTCTATCCAGCCTTACATGTATATTAGAGGTCAATTCCAACAGGAATCAAACCCAGAGCTATAGATAACTCATCCAGTCTCTATCTTATTGAGCTATAGGGAAATTCCCATTAACTAGGTCAGTAACAAGCAATTAGATGGTTCACCTTTATGACATTCTCTATCCCCCTCCCCCTTAGAAAGACCTCCTAATTGAGTCTTCCAGGGTACAGCAAGGTTAAAGGAGCTGTTGTACTCAGTACTCAGTGTTCTAAATGGTTACAAATGTAAATCTGATCGCTTTTCTATGTCTCCATTAGTGCCCAGTGATCTACAAATGATCAAGCTCAAGGAAAACTGTCTACTGCACTGTCAGTAACAAGCAGTAAACTAGATAGCTTTGTAGACAATACTGTGACACATGTAAATTAAAACGAACATTCTGACCCAAACACCCCTTGTTTGCATAGGAAGAACTACCCAATTTGTCTGACGACCCTACATATAGGCAATATAATGATATTGGTCAATTCAATTCATTGTCGAGAGAATTTCGTAATTTGTTAGAGATGAAAGTGACATATTTTCTAAAAAAGACATATTTTTACACATTTTCGTTTCCTTTTACACTTACCAATTCTTCGTCTTTTAGGTTTAAAAAGCCAAAGGTCAAATCAGTTGCAATTTTGATCAACATGGTAACCATATGATATGACAACTTGAAAAAAAGTCCATTACCCCCTGGGGTTGTTATCAACAATTTTACTGTTAATATTAGATTAACACTTTGTGTTTCTAAATATCTACAGAAAGTTCCAATGAAAGATTTCCACGCTGAGATTCGAGCGTTCCGAGATGTTGAGGACTTCCTTAACAGAACACTGCTTATCCTTGACCTTCCAACCACCGGGCTCACTCAGATTGTTGACACCATGCTCAACAAACTCCATAGCAACAAAGAGATTGGAATGACCTTCACCTTGGAAGAGGCCAGGCTTGCCATCTTTACACAGAATTCTGGTATGTCGTTTTCCTGTACTCCTGGATGGCAGTGTCAGACTCTGTATATTTAATTCCTTTTTGTGTTCCATGTGTTACTGATCTATAGAGGTTTTGATCTTGTCTCCAATGCTGCTATTTAGTACCCTAGCTTTCAGAAATCGACATACATGTTATTCAATATGCAAATATTTGATGATGTAACAGATTCTTCGTCAGTTCTAATTGGCTGATTTGCAGTTTCAGGACAATCTTTCTAAAATGCAGGAATTTTCCCTTGAAAGGATCTTGTTCACTATAAGTGGAATTCAGAATTCTGTATTGGTATGTGGTGGGTGTTTTTGTCCAATTGAAACATCGTGATTGCATTAGGCTCTGAATGTGAGAGCCACACGCAATAGTACAGGTCCCCAGCACTGCTGCCGTGGAAACCTCAGACATCAATGATGTAAAGCTATCCATGTTTGTTATCACTGGTGATTTTTTATCAGTGTCGTCTCATAGATTCACATTCCACATGCAAATTTAAGATATTTGAAATTCATAATCAAATATGCTCAATAAAAGCTAAACAGTGAGATGGTGTGAGAAACAGTGAAGGCTTGTATGGTTTTGTGTCTTGCTTTGGCTGATCAATGATTCCTGTAGTGATTTTGTTATGGAGGATGGCTAATTTCTACCATGTTACATACTGCTGTGAAAGGATTGAGAAAGAGCTAGCTGATCTCAGATTAGGAAGTTGCCTGGTGATGTCTTGCTGTAAGGTGGTACTTAATGTGCTGTGTTTTGTCTCCAACAGTTCATTTACTCAGCCGAACCATACAGGGCACAACCTTCAGTGACGAGTGTGGCTATCAGATTGACCAATCCTGGATCTGTATTTTGTAAGTTGTTATGTACAGTACTTCAGTTTACATTAAAATGAGATGAAAAGTATCTCCAGTGTGAGAAGATGACACCTGTGTCCAGTGACAACAGAGGACAAATTATACTACATAAAATATGTCATGTCTTAAGATTAAATTAAAAAAGATAACATGTGTCTCCAGTTATGAAAATAGACATGTATCTATGGATACGTGAGATGGCATGTGTCTATTGATAAACAAGATGACATGTGTCTACTGTTAAGCTAGATGACATATGTCTACAGTTAAGCTAAATGACATGTGTCTACTGTTGAACTAGATGACATGTGTCTACTGTTAAACTAAATGGCATGTGTCTACTGTTAAACTAAATGACATGTGTCTACTGTTAGACTAAATGACATGTGTCTACTGTTGAACTAGATGACATGTTTGTACTGTAAAACTAAACGACATGTGGCTACTGTTAAACTAAATGACATGTGTCTACTGTTAAACTAAATGACAGGTGTCTACTGTTGAACTAGATGACATGTGGCTACAGTCAAACTAGATGACATGTGTCTACTGTAAGAATAAACGACATGTGTCTGTTGTTAACCTAGATGACATGTGTCTACTGTTAAACTAAATGACGTGTGTCTAATGTTAAAATAAATGACATGTGTCTACTGTTAAACTAGATGACATGTATCATGTGTCTACTGTTAAACTAAATGGCATGTTTGTACTGTAAAACTAAATGACATGTGTCTACTGTTAAGCTAAATGACATGTGTCTACTGTTAAGCTAAATGACATGTGTCTACTGTTGACCTAGATGACATGTGTCTACTGTTGAACTAAATGGCATGTTTGTACTGTAAAACTAAATGACATGTGTCTACGGTTAAACTAAATGACATGTGTCTACTGTTAGACTAAATGACATGTGACTACTGTTGAACTAGATGACATGTGTCTACCTTTAAACTAAACGACATGTGTCTACTGTTAAACTAAATGACGTGTGTCTAATGTTAAAATAAATGACATGTGTCTACTGTTAAACTAGATGACATGTGTCTACTGTATGTCTTAACGACATGTGTCTACTGTTAAACTAGATGACATGTGTCTACTGTATGTCTTAACGACATGTGTCTACTGTTAAACTAGATGACATGTGTCTATTGTTAAATTAGATGACGTGTGTCTACTGTAAGACTAAATGACATGTGTCTACTGTGAGACTAAATGACATGTGTCTGCTGTAAGACTAAATGACATGTGTCTACTGCGAGACTAAATGACATGTGTCTGCTGTAAGACTAAATGACATGTGTCTACTGTGAGACTAAATGACATGTGTCTGCTGTAAGACTAAATGACATGTGTCTACTGTTAAACTAAATGACGTGTGTCTAATGTTAAAATAAATGACATGTGTCTACTGTTAAACTAGATGACATGTATCTACAAATGGCATGTTTGTACTGTAAAACTAAACGACATGTGTCTACTGTTGAACTAAATGGCATGTTTGTACTGTAAAACTAAACTACATGTGTCTACTGTTAAACTAAATGGCATGTTTGTACTGTAAAACTAAACGTCATGTGTCTACTGTTAGACTAAATGACATGTGACTACTGTTGAACTAGATGACATGTGTCTACTGTTGAACTAGATGACATGTTTGTACTGTAAAACTAAACGACATGTGGCTACTGTTAGACTAAATGACATGTGTCTACTGTTGAACTAGATGACATGTGTCTACTGTAAGACTAAATGACATGTGTCTACTGTTAAACTAGATGATGTGTGTCTATTGTTAAACGAGATGACATGTGGCTACGGTATGTCTTAACGACATGTGTCTACTGTTAAACTAAATGGCATGTGTGTACTGTAAAACTAAACGACATGAGTCTACTGTTAAACTAAACGACATGTGACTACTGTTGAACTAAATGGCATGTTTGCACTGTAAAACTAAACGACATATGGCTACTGTTGAAATAAATGACATGTGTCTACTGTTAAACTAAATGGCATGTTTGTATGTGTCTACTGTTGAACTAGATGACCTGTGTCTACTGTTGAACTAGATGACCTGTGTCTACTGTTGAACTAGATGCCATGTGTCTACTGTTGAACTAGATGACATGGGTCTACTGTTGAACTAAATGACATGTGTCTACTGTTTAACTAGATGACATGTGTCTACTGTAAGACTAAACGACATGTTGACATGTGTCTACTGTTGAACTAAATGACATGTGTCTACTGTTGAACTAAACGACATGTGTCTACTGTTAAACTAAACGACATGTGTCTACTGTTGAACTAAATGGCATGTTTGTACTGTAAAACTAAACGACATGTGTCTACTGTTGAACTAGATGACATGTGTCTATTGTTAAACTAAATGACATGTATCTACTGTTAAACGAAGTGACATGTGGTTACAGATAAATAAGTTGACATATGTCTATTGTTAAACTAAATGACATGTGTCTACTGTTGAACTAGATGACATGTGACTACAGACAAACTAGATGACATGTGTCTACTGTAAGACTAAATGACATGTGTCTGTTGTTAACCTAGATGACATGTGTCTACTGTTAAACTAGATGACATGTGTCTATTGTTAAATTAGATGACGTGTGTCTACTGTAAGACTAAATGACATGTGTCTACTGTAAGACTAAACGACATGTGTCTACTGTTAAACTAGATGACATGTGTCTACTGTTAAACTAGATGACGTGTGTCTATTGTTAAACTAAATGACATTTGTCTACTGTTAAACTAGATGACATGTGTCTACTGTAAGACTAAACGACATGTGTCTAATGTTAAAATAAATGACATGTGTTTACTGTTAAACTAGATGACATGTGTCTACTGTAAGACTAAATGACATGTGTCTACTGTGAGACTAAATGACATGTGTCTGCTGTAAGACTAAATGACATGTGTCTACTGTTAAACTAGATGACATGTGTCTACTGTTAAACTAGATGACGTGTGTCTATTGTTAAACTAAATGACATTTGTCTACTGTTAAACTAGATGACATGTGTCTACTGTAAGACTAAACGACATGTGTCTAATGTTAAAATAAATGACATGTGTTTACTGTTAAACTAGATGACATGCGCCGCCAGTTAAACAAATTGTTTGTGTACAGTGATTATACTTGTTCTTACATTGGCTATCCATTACACTGTAATACTAATAGTTCTATACAGTATCGTGTTTTAGGAGACAGGTACATGTAGCTTTTTTGCAGCACAAAGTGTTCCCAATCATCTGGAAACAAAGGTGGATAGATTATTGGGGCTGCATTGTATTCACAGCATGAAATATTAGTCTTAAAATGTATTGCCCTTCTGATAGAGGTAGTAAGGACTCTTGGCCAATGACAGCTAAATTGCCATCAAATTTAACTCCCAAAAATTTGCTCTAGGAACAAAATTACAAAAGTTTGACCCTGTGATTAAAGTGATTAAAGTACTGTGTGGTTTGAATATCAGAAGATGACAGGTGTCTTCAGTAACATCAGTTGACACATGTCTTCATTAGCATTAGTTGACATGTGTCTTCAGTAGAATTGAAAAACACTTGAATCCATCTTAGAACCAGCTAAACAAAATGGCACATGTCTCCTTCCCCAGAAGCGCTAAGAAATCTCTAGATAGCTCTTTATCTGTTATTGAAGTGCCAGCTTCACAAATATTTTGATTTTCTATGAATTTTAAATGTGTTTGTACAACAACAGAATTGATTTTGTAAGATACTTAAGGATATTGGAGAATATTAAAAATACTTTAGTACACTGGAGGTTTAGGAGAGCAATTTTTCCATCTGTAACGCTAATTGAGTTCCTTCCAAGCAGAACAACGCTCTGTAAATGTCTTGCAATGGGTGATTATAGGAAGCCATGGGGAGGCGGTTTTCTCTTTATGATGTCGAGGGAATTGGGGTATGGTTATGAAAGGGAGCTAGCGAGATGTTATTTTCTTAATGAAGGCTTTTTAGCTCACCTGGTCCAAAGGATCATGGTGAGCTTATGCCATACTGCATCGTCCATCGCCCGTCCTTCGTCTGTTGTCCATCCATCAACTTTTCCTTTAAAACACTACTAGTCCTGAACAGCCAAGTAGATTTTTACTAAATTTGGTCTGGAGCATCCTTAGGCCAAGGGGACTCAATTTTGTATAAACGGTGGTTGTGGCTCCCCTGGGGGCAGATTGGCGGGGCTGAATAGGGGAAATAGAAGTTCAATTTTGCTAACATTTCCAGGTGACCGATACAGGCCCTCTTGTTATTCCTGATGGACTTACAATGTAAGATACTTCAACCACAATTCGGTTGAAACCTGCCCATTTGTTTGTAGGTGATGTCATTTAAAGCAAATCAGCTGTTACACTTACAATATATATGCAACAGGAAACTATCTGCGGGAACTTCAATTAGCGAAATCAAACTTTTAGCACAGTGTTAAAAGCACAGGAGTGCTAAATGTTGGGCAGATTTCGACCTCACTTTCAGAATAGCCAGGTAAAGATGCAGGGCCCTTTTGCCTCTTGTTTCTGTATGTTAAGGAAAAGGAGTGATTATTTTCTCTTAAAATAAGATGCCTTGGGAGAGGTTTAAGGGTCTTGCATCAGAGATGTAGGTGCCCTTTAGTAACTTTCATCAGTCCATATGTCATTCCATTCTGGATTATCTCAGAATGAAGATGTCTAAAATTTCACATGGTTATTCACTATTCATAAAAGTTACATGTAGATGTGCAACAGTGATTTAAAAAGTTCATAAGTTCAAGGTCAAGGTCACTATTACTTAACATTAACATGACTTAAGATTTACTGACATATTTTCCTTTCTGACCAACTAGGGTATATTTTGGTGGTAAATGGTATTGGATGTATAATACCCAGGTATCTTATACCTTATTCACGTCTAATAGAACAGGGGCAATTACTGTAAAAAGTTTACTGGCCTTTTACCACTTTTCAGTGTTTATAAATTGGTGGTATATGGTACTTACTGATAAGTCTTCATGGTGAATAGGGACATACTATCAGAATTTCATAATTGAAAAATGGCTTCAATGACTTTCAGACTATACCTTCTGTTCTGTGAGTTCTTCCTTCTAATTTATTAAAATGGATTTATGATTTTTGCAGGTTGATGGAATGACACCAAACATACATATAACTTTGCTGTATATTTAGGGCAGTGAAATACTTCAGTCATTGACTTCACAAATCATACTGTTGGCAGTGTGTGCTTTTTCCCCATTCAGGTCCTATTTATTAATTTACACACCGTTGTTTTATGTGACAGGTGTGAGTTACCTAACCTGACCAAACGCCATGTTGTGATATCCCGCCTCCACCATCCAGCCAACCTGGGACCGACCAGTCAGGAAATCCAGTTTGTCATCCTTGTGATGACTCCAACAAAGGAGGTACGTCCATCCACGGGGAGAAGAATTTAATGTGTATCAGGATTTGTATTGATTGTTTACCTAGGATCTAGAAACTGTTGTTGGGTCCATCTGTTGACCTGCTGAACTGTTGTCATTTGTTTGATTTTCTGTCTTGTTTATTTGTCTGTGAGAGATAAACTTTATGTAGATAGACAGACTCTTTGATACTATTGTCACTTGTTTGATTTTCTGTCTGTTTTATTTGTCTGTGAGAGATAAACTTTATGTAGATAGACAGACTCTTTGATACTATTGTCACCTTTTCTAAGAAACTATATATCACAGGGGACATACAAACAAATGTTGGCTTTGTTATGTGTTTGATGCTTCTACTACACAATGTCAAATAATATAATATATAAAAAAATGTATGTTTTATTTACTCTGCAATAACCCCAGGATAGCAGCTATAGGGCTTATGACAGGATAAGGAAATAACATTTCTTGGCATTTTTACTGAAATACAGTAGATATTGGTGGGCTTATTACCAGATAAAAATGATGATACTCATTATTTCCTGAGCATTATTAATTCTGAGTTTTCAATGTATACTTCTTTGCTATCTTATCATCATTCATAGTAAGATAATTCTCTTAGTTTTGAACTCTTCAAGAAAGGAGATAAGATGTTACAGTAAGATAGCATGTACCCTTAATTCCAATACTTTTGGCTAGTTCAAGTCATCACTTATAGGCCAATTAAAAAGTTTGAGGAAACTTTATAAATCACACTTACAAAGTTAGTAAACTCCTTTGTGACCTTGTGACCTGAAGGAAATAATAGTACTGCACAGTGAATAATACTGTTATACAATATAGTAAGTATAACCACTATATAGTAAATAGGAGTACTACAGAGACTAATACATACCGATATTTACACTGTGACAAGCTTCTGTGTGCTTTTTATACAGAGACTAATACATACTGATATTTACACTGTGACAAGCTTCTGTGTGCTTTTTATACAAAGACTGATACATTATGTATATTAGTACTGAGACTAATACATACTAATATCACACATTGATTAACTAATCTACAGGTATTTTTATACAGAGACTGAAACACACTGCTATCTGTATACATTGACTAACTTGTACAGGTATTTATACACAACAGAACTAAGTGATATCTTTATATTGACGGAGATGTACAGGTCTGTATTGCTGTTGTACTTTTCAGAAAAGTACAAAGACAGCATTGGAGACTGGACAGACATTCTCCACGCTGTTCATGGACATGGATTTCCGACACCAGCTCTTGGAGGCCTCCACAGATCTCGACTTCAAACAGCTGCTGCAGAAAAAAACCAAACTGCTAATTGAGCATCAAGGCCTACCAGAGAATCGCAAGTCTCACCTCGTGTTAAACTCGTCTCCATTTGATGACGACGATGAGGTGTGTATTGTGTGCGAGGATGAGGATGAGTTTTATATTACGTGTGATCAGTCTTGTGTGTAACATATTTGAATCAGGAACAAGATGTGTGTATACTTTGAATAAATGGTGGCCTTTGCCTCCTTTGTTTTACTTTATATATCAATTAAGAAGTACCTGCGCAAATTACACAGGTTTTGACGGTAACAATTATGTCTATTGATCCTGTGTATTCTTGTATGTAGCTCAATCGAACAGTTTGGAAAATTGAATTAAAAGCAAGGGTTGTAAAAAGACAATATAATCCTAAATGTTTTTGAAAACATTTCTGGAAACGAGAAGTCATAGATGATCGTATGGGACATGTTCAGGTGATTAACTGTTAAATAAGTAGGGTACACTAAATCCTGGTTAAACTTAACAGATTTTACACCCTTGCATAAAAATGCAGCTTCTATAAATCAACTCAGCCTCTTTATCAATTTCATAAACATATTTAAATTTGATTACTGTCCATTTTTTACAGGGCAACCGCAGGTGTAATATAGGCCAGGGGATTTATCAAGATTTGAAGCGCCGCCTACCTCACTATCTGTCTGACTACAAAGATGGTAAGTACTAAATATCATTGTTTTACAGATAGCCAGGTGTACTATGTGAAATACATCAGTTTTATGCTGTTTGGTATTTAGTTGCTACGTTTTGCGGATATAAAAGTTCTTTAATGTGTATCCTGAAATTATTATGAGGTTATAAACTCACAAATCATCTGTCAATAAATGTGTTTTAAAATAAAGTGACTTGTTCCATTTGTACGCAAAGCTATGGTACATCACTGTTGCAACTTTTGACCAAAGGTACATCATTGTTGAGACTTTTGACCTTAGGTATGTCGTCATTGTTGAGACTTTTGACCTTAGTTATGTCGTTGTTGAGACTTTTGACCTAAGGCACATCATTGTTGAGACTTTTGACCTAAGGTACATTGTTGTTGAGACTTTTGACCTAGGGCACGTCATTGTTGAGAGTTTTGACCTAAGGCATGTCGTTGTTGAGACTTTGGACCTTAGGTACATTGTTATTGAGACTTTTGACCTAAGGTATGTCGTTGTTGAGACTTTGGACCTAAGGCAGGTCGTTGTTGAGACTTTTGACCTAAGGCAGGTCGTTGTTGAGACTTTTGACCTAAGGCAGGTCGTTGTTGAGACTTTTGACCTAAGGCACGTAGTTGTTGAGACTTTTGACCTAAGGCACATCGTTGTTGAGACTTTTGACTGAAGGCACATCAATGTTGAGACTTTTGACCTTAGGTACATTGTTGTTGAGACTTTTGACCTAAGGCACATCTTTGTTGATACTTTTGACCTAAGGCACATCATTGTTGAGACTTTTGACCTAAGGTATGTCGTTGTTGAGACTTTTGACCTTAGGTACGTCATTGTTGAGACTTTTGACCTTAGGTATGTCGTTGTTGAGACTTTAAACCTAAGGCACATCATTGTTGAGACTTTTGACCTAAGGTACGTTGTTGTTGAGACTTTTGACCTAGGGCACGTCATTGTTGAGACTTTTGACCTAAGGCATGTCGTTGTTGAGACTTTGGACATTAGGTACATTGTTATTGAGACTTTTGACCTAAAGTATGTCGTTGTTGAGACTTTTGACCTAAGGCAGGTCGTTGTTGAGACTTTTGACCTAAGGCATGTCGTTGTTGAGACTTTGGACATTAGCTACATTGTTATTGAGACTTTTGACCTAAAGTATGTCGTTGTTGAGACTTTTGACCTAAGACACGTCGTTGTTGAGCCTTTTGACCTAAGGTACGTCGTTGTTGAGACTTTTGACCTAAGGCTAATCTTTGTTGAGACTTGACCTAAGGCATGTCGTTGTTGAGACTTTTGACCTAAGACACGTCGTTGTTGAGACTTTTGACCTAAGGCAGGTCGTTGTTGAGACTTTTGACCTAAGGCACGTCGTTGTTGAGACTTTTGACCTAAGGTACGTCATTGTTGAGACTTTTGACCTAAGGCAGGTCGTTGTCGAGACTTTTGACCTAAGGCAGGTCGTTGTTGAGACTTTTGACCTAAGGCACGTAGTTGTTGAGACTTTTGACCTAAGGCACATCGTTGTTGAGACTTTTGACTGAAGGCACATCAGTGTTGAGACTTTTGACCTTAGGTACATTGTTGTTGAGACTTTTGACCTAAGGCACATCTTTGTTGATACTTTTGACCTAAGGCACATCATTGTTGATACTTTTGACCTAAGGTATGTTGTTGTTGAGACTTTTGACCTTAGGTATGTCATTGTTGAGACTTTTGACCTTAGGTATGTCGTTGTTGAGACTTTAAACCTAAGGCACATCATTGTTAAGACTTTTGACCTAAGGTACGTTGTTGTTGAGACTTTTGACCTAGGGCACGTCATTGTTGAGACTTTTGACCTAGGGCACGTCGTTGTTGAGACTTTGGACATTAGGTACATTGTTATTGAGACTTTTGACCTAAGGTATGTCGTTGTTGAGACTTTTGACCTAAGGCAGGTCGTTGTTGAGACTTTTGACCTAAGGCACGTTGTTGTAGAGACTTTTGACCTAAGGCACGTTGTTGTAGAGACTTTTGACCTAAGGCACGTCGGTTGTGAGACTTTTGACCTAAGGCACGTCGTTGTGGAGACTTTTGACCTAAGGCACGTCGGTTGTGAGACTTTTGACCTAAGGTACGTCGTTGTTGAGACTTTTGACCTAAGGCATGTCGTTGTTGAGACTTGACCTAAGGCATGTCGTTGTTGAGACTTTTGACCTAAGGCACGTCGTTGTTGAGACTTTTGACCTAAGGCACATCAATGTTGAGACTTTTGACCTTAGGTACATTGTTGTTGAGACTTTTGACCTAAGGCTAACCTTTGTTGAGACTTTTGACCTAAGGTAAGTCGTTTTTGAGACTTTTGACCTAAGACACGTCGTTGTTGAGACTTTTGACCAAAGGTATGTTGTTTTTAAGACTTTTGAGTTACTGTACATCATTGTTGAGACTGTCAAGATATTGTAAATTATTGTTCAACCTTTTGACCTATGCTGAGACTTTTGATCTTATAGAGCATTATACTTATGTTATGGTTCAGCACTATGGACCCTTTTTGTCTGTGATACGTAGTTGTTGAGACCTGGCTGATGGTACATCATTGGTGAGACTTTCTTAGATAACACTGTTTTATTCTTACTGTATAAAACTTGAGAATGCAGTGTTAATTAGAAAGCATGTTTTATTTTCACATTTTACAGCGATATGTACAGTATGCAGTGATTGTCGCTAATTAAGGAACATTGCTACATCTTCTGTACATTTGCAATACCATTACCTTTGTGATGATGATGTTAACAGAAATAAATCTGTCCCATCTAGAAAGATTTTAAAACAATTAGCTGTTTGCCAAGTCATTTAAGTATAAATCGATGCTAACGAAATGTAATTACCCTGCCTTGATTTTTTTTTAAATAAATGATTAGAGCACTAGACATGTTTTTAACCTATTCTGCATTTAGAGGTTATCATGAACAAAATATTCACTTTGACAATTGTACAACTGCAGAATTGACAAGATATGATATTTAGTGTTTATTGTTCGGAACAAAATCAGTCGCTATATATAATGTTGAGCTAGTCTCCTGGCTTGGACCTGTGCTGCCAAGTTTGACAGAGGCAGGTTTTCTATAATATATATTCTGGTTAGGTATGAAGGTGAGATATATGTGACTGGTTGGAATGCCTTGCTATAATGTCCAAGATTTGACATGTCAGTCAGATGGCATTGTTAATTTGGCCCTTATGTTATGTGACCCAATCATCTGTGCCCACACTCCTAATGTGTTCTAAGCTGGTGCCAAGTTGTAAAATCTCAATTCATCATTCAGTCAGCAAATCAATACAGTGGAACCTTGTTAATGTAAACTTTAATGATCTGAAACATTCCCTTCCCCGGATGCTTAACCCTTTCACCACTGTAGACCATAATGGACCCCTCCATATCATTACATGGTAGAGTCTACTAAAGTTACATAGGGGTGAAGGGGGTAATGTCCAGGAACAGACTGTTTAGTGATGTATCTGGCAAATCTTTATCTGTCATTTTTGAAACTTTTGGCAGATTGAACCATCGTGTCCAGTCGTAGCTTTCACTGTGCATGTTTTATAAACTGGAGATTTATCATTCTTAGTATACAATATTTGATTTAATGTCTTATCAAGCTATAATAAGTCGTTGTCAATCATTTTACAATACATATATATACACAATCTATAGCATCAATTAACATAATCAATACAATATGTGAACCTCAAAGCAGCGACCAATCAGGTGCTAGCTACTGGTCCTTAGGCACTTGACTACTACCTCCACATGTGTGCATACCTGTGTGTGTATCTGGAAGTGTTTTGGTTTTTCTGTTGTGTTCAGTTATTTTTCAAGTTCTCCATATAATTGTAGCAATGAGAACAACATACAGTTTAGATGATGTGTAGATTTTAGGTCTGAGGTTAGAGTGTGAGTTGTTGTCAGTTAAATGTTTTTTGCTAAAAAAAATCCACTAAAATTTAATCTTTTCAATAAAAATCAGAAGAATCTTTCTTGAGGGGAAGATGGTGTCTCACATTCAAGTATCAGGATCCCCTATTATAGCAAGATTATGTCATATCAACCGTTTGTAACACTGAGGGAATCAGCCACCTTAGTGTAATGGCCTGTAACACTGAGGTAATCAGCCACCTTTGTGTAATGGCCTGTAACACGGAGGGAATCAGCCACCTTAGGGTAATGGCTTGTAACACTGAGGGAATCAACCACCTTAGTCTAATGGCCTGTAACACTGAGGGAATCAGCCACCTTTGTGTAATGGCCTGTAACACTGAGGAAATCAGCCACCTTAGTGTAATGGCCTGTAACCCTGAGGGAATCAGCCACCTTAGTGTAATGGCTTGTAACACTGAGGGAATCAGCCACCTTAGTGTAATGGCCTGTAACCCTGAGGGAATCAGCCACCTTAGGGTAATGGCCTGTAACACTGAGGGAATCAGCCACCTTTGTGTAATGGCCAGTCGGCCGTCTTTGTCGGCTGACAAATGTACAAAATTCCTTTCTATATGAGGCAGAAAAAGGATTAAAATTGTTTATTAGAGATTGATGTGAGAATCATTGCCTGTGTGTTGGATTTTGTTAGGGAGTTTACTGCTCGAACAACGACACTATTGGCCCGATACGTGTCTCCTGTAGTCTCTCGTATCAGACTCAAGGCATCACTCCTCAAGTTATATCAGCATTTATCGACTGTGTGGCAAGCAAATATCAATGAAATGACACTTAAATTTTGATGTTGTGAAATGTTAAACTTCACTGGTTGATATTTTAATCTGTTGTGCAATTCAATAAATCCACAATTACTGCATCATAAACGAAGGGATCTGAGACAGGATTATGTTTTATAGGTAATGTTTAGGACACTCAGTCACTGTAATGACACGTATGATTATTATAGTGTTTCTCCAATTAACAACAAAATAAATGAATGTACACACAGATTACAAGGAACTGTCTTGTATGTCTATACTACAGGTTTCTACATGTCCCTAATTCAACATGTTTTATATGTTTTGTATATCTACCTTGTGTATCTACATGTCTTGTGTGTCTACATGTCTGTATATCTACATGTCTTGTGTGTATATATCTTTTGTGTGTCTACATGTCTTGTATGTCTACATGTCTTGTGTGTCTTCATGTCTTGTATGTCTACATGTCTTGTATGTCTACATGTCTTGTATGTCTACATGTTCTGTATGTCTTCATGTCTTGTATGTCTACATGTCTTGTGTGTGTATATCTTTTGTGTGTCTACATGTCTTGTATGTCTACATGTCTTGTGTGTCTTCATGTCTTGTATGTCTACATGTCTTGTATGTCTACATGTCTTGTATGTCTACATGTTCTGTATGTCTTCATGTCTTGTATGTCTACATGTCTTGTGTGTGTATATCTTTTGTGTGTCTACATGTCTTGTATGTCTACATGTCTTGTGTGTCTTCATGTCTTGTATGTCTACATGTCTTGTATGTCTACATGTCTTGTATGTCTACATGTTCTGTATGTCTTCATGTCTTGTATGTCTACATGTCTTGTGTGTCTTCATGTCTTGTATGTCTACATGTCTTGTATGTCTACATGTTCTGTATGTCTACATGTCTTGTATGTCTACATGTCTTGTATGTCTACATGTCTTGTTTGTCTACATGTCTGTATGTCTACATGTCTACATGTCTTGTGTGTCTACATGTCTTGTATGTCTACATGTCTTGTGTGTCTTCATGTCTTGTATGTATATATGTCTACATGCCCTGTATATCTACATGTCTTGTGTGTCTACATGTTCTGTATGTCTACATGTCTTGTGTGTCTACATGTCTTGTATATCTACATGTCTTGTATATCTTCATGTCTTGTTTGTCTACATCTTTTGTGTGTCTACATTTCTCGTATATTTACATGTCTTGTATATCTTCATGTCTTGTTTGTCTACATTTCTTGTATGTCTACATTTCTTGTATGTCTACATTTCTTATATGTCTAAATGTTTTGTATGTCTAAATGTCTCAGATGTCTAAATGTTTTGTATGAATCAATGTTTTGTTTGTCTAAGTTTCATATGCGTACATGTCTTGTATGTCTACATGACTTGTAGTCTATTCATCTTGTATATCTTTAATGCTTAGACATTCTTAGTTACAATAAAAGATATTACATTTTTATCTCAATATAAGCTCAAAAAATTGATTTTATTTGAAAGTTTGAAAAGAGTTTGAGAAAATATACCACTATGTTTCGTTTTGAATGGGACAAAAATTGGACCCCAAAATAGCCCCCAAGAAGCCCTGTATATCTTATATGTCTTGTATATCTACATGCTTTGGTATTGATCATAATGAATGAAAACTCTTGCAGACATCTAATGGCGTGGGATTCCTACTTGGCAATCGGGGAGTCACAATGAATTAATAACTATAAAGGAAAAATCCTGGTCGAGATTGGTAATATACGTAGTGGTAAAATATGTGATGGGTTACTGCCTGGGAATTCTGACCAGTGTCAGTAGAACCACTATTGGTCATTAGGGGAATGTTTCAGTCAGTAGGGAATGTGATACTTACTGATGTGGTAAAATATGTTTTTAAGGTAGGCAATCCCACCACTTTTCTAATCTATAAAGTCCTTGAAAAAGTATTTCCTAATAAATATATCTTCTGTATTCATACAAAGACAATTAGAGGTTGCAGGCCCTTCAGGTAGTTCAAACACCTTGACATTTTCACCAGTAATGTTGCAGAAAAAATATTAATATAACAGATATCATGACCAACAGGGCAGTGGATAAGCTCACCGGTTTAATTTCAATTCCAGAGGTCTCTGGATAGAACGCCCATAGCAAAGGTGTTTTCTGAAAAGGAAATTAAGATCAATAAATATCTTCCCTACGTTACTCTTTGATATAGTAAACGAGCAAAGTCTTAGAAAAGCTGAGCAGTTGAATTTAAACTCTTCTTCTATCTATCCAAAGGCTTGGACACACCAAAGTCTTTAACACACTAATTGTTATTCCCAGTTGAACACTCAGCATTTAGAGTAACTGCAACAACAGGTCGACATTGACAGTATAATATGACAGTGTGAAAAAAACCCTGTGCTGGGTCCCTCGGCATGGTTGTCAGTAAGGTAGCACTCTAAAGTTGGCATCAGATCTATGCTTTTTCAAAGAGGCAAATATACTAGCATACAGCCTTGTGGACATCCATACAAGACACACATAGGGGCACGTCCTTAAATGACTGTTAATAGGGCATTAAATCCAATAGACTAAACCTGATTCGTAGGAGACTGCAACGTAGAGTACTGCCCGAACTCTGACTTTAAAAAAATATAGTAATGGCACACAGCCATTAAGTTAAACTTGAAATCCAGGCTGTTGTACTGCTGGACACATAAACATGTACTGGGACAGTTACGACTTGAGTTTTAATATGGTCAGGTCAGTAACAGACAGAGAGACGGGGTAAACAGCACTGTACTGAAACTGTTATTACTCTTCGTGTTTTAAGAGAAGACATAAATAGCTTCTGATTAAGATTTCTCTGTCCCCATCAAAAGTATGGTAGTTCTAATCTATACACACTTCAGAATTGATGGTATGGTTACATTAAGGTAGCTCTCTAACATAGATAAAAGGTCAGTCATATTGTGACAGCTTTCCATTGCCCACGTCCATCATAGAATTTTATCGTTGACATGAGATCATGTCATGGTGATTCGATGGGGAATGCGTCTCACAATGCTGCTAAAGACATCTAGGATTTTGTCCAGAAAAGATAACCAATTATTACATTTTTGTTTATTTTTTTTCCAATACAAAAGACATTCAGCAGATTTTATATTTCCAACGATTCTTTTAAGTTGCTATGTACCTATGTAAGACCTTGATGGCAAGATGACTATACAGGGACAAAGATGTTTGAGTATTTTTTCAAGTCTGGCTCTATGGTAATTACTTGGGAAATCATATTTGCACATGCTACCTTTTTCATCAGAAGATAGTCCAAAGAATTGGTTTGGTTTGACAGATCTGGCATAGCTTATCAATAACATTCTGGGCAGCAAAACCACTCACAAAGTTGGCCAGACAGCCAGGTCTTTTCACAAGAATACAGCTGTTGGCAACATGACCATTTTGAAGGTTGTGGGGATGATATGGAAGAGAGCAGCTGCTGAGAAATATAAAAAAAGACATTTTTCATAAAAAAAATAGGGATTTGTTAATCTTCATTACCTATAGTTGTTCATACAGAATTTGAGCTGTCTATACCAAGTACAGTTCAGTACTCTTATTTATCTACATTTTGAAAGAAAATAAAACACACTCTGATACAGATTGCCTCTGTGCATGGTATTCAATCAAAACTATCAGAAGAACAGTTCATGAATTTCTCTGGTCAACTTCGCACATGTGTCGCCACACTGCAACCTGTTGACATTGAAAGCATATAATGCTGTGGTAGTAATAGAATATTAGAGGCTTTATGGTAATCATTAGGGAAATACAATACATATGTCAATAAAGTTTCTTTTGTTTTGAATTGACCTTATTTATACCTTCCTTAAATTACTCACATGGTTATTTAACAAATAATCAACGCATGTGCATGTCTGTCCATCATCTGAGTTTTGATCAAATGTAGGGTCTCTGAGACCACCTAGTATGAGTATTACATCATGTAAGTGCACAGTGTGTGATATACAATACTCTTTATCAGCAATATTCAAATTTTATTTAAGAAATAATCCATATATGTGCATGTATTATGGTGGTATATATAATTAGGAAATCAAAAATGCTAGAAAAAATACTTAACGAAGGCTATTAATTAATTTTTCAACATTTTCAAATTCTGAGTTATATATTCCACCTTTATATGCACGTAAGTTGATAATTTCTCAGGTATTTATTTTTACAAGTATATTTGCCAGAAGACTCTGACAAAGTTTTTTCCACTGCCTTTTTGCAGTATATTATAAGTAAATAATGTTATTTGTGTAGGGATATTTACCCAAAAGACCTCGATAACGTTATTTCTGCTGTGTTTTTGCTGTTTTTAAGTAAAATATGTTATTTTTACAGGTATAATTGGCCACAAGACCCCCCACAAAGTTCTGTCCACTGTTTTCTTCCTGTACTTTGCCTGTGTTCTTCCCAATATTGCTTTCGGTATGCTGAACAACAACAACACTCATGGAGCCATAGGTAAGGTCAACAACAACAAACAGAGGTCATAGGTAATGTCAACAACAATAAGCAGAGGTCATAGGTAATGTCAACAACAACAAACAGGGGTCATAGGTAAGGTCAACAACAACAAACAGAGGTCATAGGTCATGTCAACAACAACAAGCAGAGGTCATAGGTAAGGTCAACAACAACAAACAGGGGTTATAGGTAAGGTCAACAACATAAACAGGGGTCATAGGTAAGGTCAACAACAACAAACAGGGGTCATAGGTAATGTCAACAACAACAAGCAGAGGTCATAGGTAAGATCAACAACAACAAGCAGAGGTCATAGGTAAGGTCAACAACAACAAACAGGGGATATAGGTAAGGTCAACAACAACAGGGGTCATAGGTAAGGTCAACAACAACAAACAGAGGTCATAGGTCATGTCAACAACAACAAGCAGAGGTAATAGGTAAGGTCAACAACAACAAACAGGGGTTATAGGTAAGGTCAACAACATAGACAGGGGTCATAGGTAAGGTCAACAACAACAAACAGAGGTCATAGGTCATGTCAACAACAACAAGCAGAGGTAATAGGTAAGGTCAACAACAACAAACAGGGGTTATAGGTAAGGTCAACAACATAAACAGGGGGCATAGGTAAGGTCAACAACAACAAACAGGGGATATAGGTAAAGTCAACAACAACAACAGGGGTCATAGGTAAGGTCAACAACAACAAACAGGGGTCATGAATAAGGTCAACAACAACAAACAGGGGTCATAGGTAAAGTCAACAACAACAAACAGGTGTCGTAAGTAATGTCAGTAACATGTAGTGGACATGGGTAAGCTCAACAGCAAACAGAGGTTATAGGTAAGGTCAACAACAACAAACAGAGGTCATAGGTAATGTCAGTAGCATGTAGGGGTCATAGGTAAGGTCAACAGCAATAGAGGTCATAGGTAAGGTCAACAACAACAAACAGGTCATAGGTAATGTCAGTAGCATGTAGGGGTCATGGGTAAGGTCAACAGCAATAGAGGTCATAGGTAAGTTCAACAACAACAAACAGAGGTCATAGGTAATGTCAGTAGCATGTAGGGGTCATGGGTAAGGTCAACAGCAAACAGAGGTCATAGGCAAGGTCAACAACAACAAACAGACGTCATAGGCAAGGTCAACAACAACAAACAGGGGTCATAGGTAATGTCAGTAACATGTAGGGGTCAAAGATAAGATCAACAACAAACAGGCCATTAATAAACAATGACAGACAGGTGACCCTAAGATCTCGGGTATGATCAGCAACTACTTAGGGAACAATGGAAAGGTCAGTCATAGTTATGGTCAGCAATAACTAGAGGTCATAGGTAAGGTCAACAATAACTGGAGGTCAGCAGCAACAACCATTGGAGTCCACAGCAAACCAGAGTTTATGATGAGTAATGTAACAATTTCTGGGAATCTATCAAATGAGATATTTGGTAAAGCAATGTAATAATGAAATCCTTTTTCAATTAAATTATTTTGGTATTTTGACTATACAATTCAGCATGTACCAGGTAATGGTTAATGTCTGTGCTGCGTTAAGTTTGCCTCTGCGTGAAACTTTGTTCTTTCCTTTTACAGACATGCAGAAGATCCTGTTTTCCCAGTGTTTTGGAGGAGTGCTGTTTAGTGTGTTCGGGGGTCAACCTCTCATTGTCCTTCTCACCACAGCCCCATTGGCTCTCTACACCAAACGTACGTCTAACTCATCTAACTCATCCTCAAGGGCTGACGTATACTCCAGTTCTGGCCAACACATGTTTTAGATAAGAGCTAAAATGCTGCACATCTTCAGGAATAGCTTGTTGTGGAATTGAAAGTAGAGGCTTGTAGAGATTGTAGGAGTTTGGCCATCCTAAATATTAATAGACTTTAATTAAAGAGCAGCTTCTACTACAGTCTGTTACCTGTGAGAGCCAATGCTAGGTCTAACTAGGCAGGCCATTCGAGTGTGCGCCAACACACCATCATCTTTATTCCCATTAAGAGATATTTTCATAAAGAACTCATTTTCTTCAAAACAATATATTAAAGAAATGATTAAAGATGCAAGTTGTGTCTCATTTATCTGAAAGTTTAAAAAGTTGGAAATTTTTGTCTGTGAACCAAAGTGTCTTGAATAATGAGGTTTTATTGTATTTGGATAATTAATACATTTTGTTGGATTCTAACAATGTTACACTTACAATAAGTTTGCTTATTATCTTATTTGAATACATTTCGATTGTAAAAAAATTTGTAAAATTAACTCATGCATTTTTCTATATTGTAGTGATCTACAATATTTGTGAGGATTTTGATCTGAACTTCTACGCCATGTTTGCTTGTGTGGGACTATGGAATGCATTCTTTCTGTTCATTTATGTATTCCTAAACCTCAGCAAGCTGATGAAGTATTCTTCAAGGTAAGTATTGAATACCTAACATTCCTCAATACCATTGTTTAATTGAATCATTTTCAAAGGTGAGAGTTCAATTACTGCAGTAATGCTCTTTAGTGTTCATCAAAGTCAGTACTCATTTGATAGAATTTGATTCTCAAGATCAAAGGTCAATTGAAAGAATGCTTCAAGATCAGAGTTCATTGAACAAAATTTCTGAAGGTCATAGTGTAAACATGAACAAGATAAAGTACCGTGTGGTATATATTGGAGATATACTGACTGTCAGGGGATGTTTTTGCTATACTTTGGATATGACCATTCACATTTCATGAAGAAAATTCTGCAATAAGCTCAGTGGGTCAACAACTAATCTCTCACTGAAAGTAGGGGGCGGGTTTATTACAGGACAATGAAGAAAAATGTGTTGCAATTTCTTTTGAATCTCAATAGGTATATAACTGGTGGGCCTATTAACAGGCATATAACTGGTGAGCCTATTAACAGGCATATAACTGGTGGACCTATTACCAGGTATATAACTGGTGGACCTATTACCAGGCATATAACTGGTGGGCCTATTACCAGGCATATAACTGGTGGACCTATTAACAGGCATATAACTGGTGAGCATATTAACAGGCATATAACTGGTGGGCCTATTACCAGGCATATAACTGGTGGACCTATTACCAGGCATATAACTGGTGGGCCTATTACCAGGCATGGGCTTATTGCCGAAAAAATATGGTACATGTATTGATCCAGTTTTATACCTAACATTAAACCTGTATAAGTTTGATTGTTAGAAATTATAAAAAGTATATATCTTACTGCCATGACCTAACCATTTTAAAAGGCACCTGTCCTATCTGTCCCATTCCACCCCCAGTCTGTTAGACTACTGTAAGGTGTGAGTCAGCAGCTGTCGGGTTGTGATTGATAGCTTTGGTCCGCTATATCCCAATAAACCCATCTCACATAACCTTTCAGATCCACGGAGGAGATATTTTCCATGTTCATCACTTTTGCCTTTTCTGCTGATGCCATTAAAGACACTTTAAAAGGTAATGCTACCCAAACTCTCCTTTGTTTTAATTATAACAGTCATGGGTATGGAGGTCTCAACATAGATGTACCATTAAAGAATGCAATTGTTGACAGGTTTCAGGTAATACATTATATAGTATAGCTGTCAGCAGTATAGCGATTTGATTACAATAAGAAATTTATAGTTGACAGGTTTCAGATAATACATTATATAGTATAGCTGTCAGCAGTATAGCGATTCCTTACTGTAAGAAATTTATAGTTGACAGGTTTCAGGTAATACATTATATAGTATAGCTGTCAGCAGTATAGCGATTTGATTACAGTAAGAAATTTATAGTTGACATGTTTCAGTAATACATTAAATAGTATAGCTGTCAGCAGTATAGCGATTTGATTACAGTAAGAAATTTATAGTTGACAGGTTTCAGGTAATACATTATATAGTATAGCTGTCAGCAGTATAGCGATTTGATTACAGTAAGAAATTTATAGTTGACATGTTTCAGTAATACATTAAATAGTATAGCTGTCAGCAGTATAGCGATTTGATTACAGTAAGAAATTTATAGTTGACAGGTTTCAGGTAATACATTATATAGTATAGCTGTCAGCAGTATAGCGATTTGATTACAGTAAGAAATTTATAGTTGACATGTTTCAGTAATACATTAAATAGTATAGCTGTCAGCAGTATAGCGATTTGATTACAGTAAGAAATTTATAGTTGACAGGTTTCAGATAATACATTATATAGTATAGCTGTCAGCAGTATAGCGATTTGATTACAGTAAGAAATTTATAGTTGACATGTTTCAGATAATACATTAAATAGTATAGCTGTCAGCAGTATAGCGATTTGATTACAGTAAGAAATTTATAGTTGACAGGTTTCAGATAATACATTATATAGTATAGCTGTCAGCAGTATAGCGATTTGATTACAGTAAGAAATTTATAGTTGACATGTTTCAGATGATACATTAAATAGTATAGCTGTCAGCAGTATAGCGATTTGATTACAGTAAGAAATTTATAGTTGACAGGTTTCAGATAATACATTATATAGTATAGCTGTCAGCAGTATAGCGATTCATTGCCATCTCAACACAGATGTATGGTTACAGTAAAAAATGTATAGTTGACATGTTTCAGCTATCTAGGAACAACAAAACAAGTGAGGTGTAAGCTAATATACAATTTTGGGTTGAAGTACAGTGTAAAGTATTGTCAACAATGTCAGAGTAGTGTAACTAGAATGACTTGGGGTGACTTAGGGCTCACAAGGGTGAGCAGTAATGTTGCTGTAGACAAAACAAAAATCTCGTAAATGTAAATTGTGAACTATCATGAGGTAATCAAGATATCAGATATTTAAACAGTGTTCACGATTGCTGAAAGATGGTGTGGACACTAATGTTATTATTCTATTTATTTTTTTTTATTTTTTTTTCTTTTTTTTTTTTTTTTGCACTCAGTGTTAATCATTCAGCATCATCAATAACAATACCGTGACAGTGTGCGTTTTCATTATTATTTGTTTACGATTGCTATTGCCATGTTATTATTCTATTTTGACTATCAGGTCAGGGTGTTGTGGAAGTTTATCTATTCAGAGCTGATTTTATGAGTAAACTTGCTGGTATGATGGAAGTCACTGAGTGAACCCTGATGGCTCATTTGTTTGGTTGGTGTTTAATGTCTTTGCAACAGCTAAATGTCATATGAAGACGGGTGCCTATGGAGACAACATTGAACAAAATGAGAAGGGAACTTAGAAAGGAAGATTTTGATATCCTAAGTGTGGCAAATGGGGGCAGCATATCAAATTTGGCCTATTCAATGTCCTCCTAGCAGGTGATACTGAAGAAAAAAACCAATTCTAGGGGTGCGGTCCTTTTTGGGATACAGTAGTTCTATACTTTCTTCTAACAGCGTTCCTGTGATGGAATTGAGGTCCTTACAAATTAGTTTCGAGGTAGGTTACAAAAGTAGTGCACATCAGCGTTTTACAGATAATCTGGAGGGAGGAACTGAATTCAGTTGAGGATTTCAGGTTGAACCTTAAAGATTTGAGAACGGTATCGATTTTGAAGAACATTGACAGGTATTGTAGGGGGTGTTGTGCCTTGGTCAAGTTGATGTGGAATTGATGGCTTGAATGATGATGGGCTATATTTTCGGCTCAGTTTTATATAACAGATCAGAAATACAGGTATATTGGGCCTTTTGTTCATGGATATTCTACCAATGGTCAGAATAATGGGCCGGTAGGATCAGCGGGTATAGATGTGATTGTTTGGTCTATGGGTGAAAACTTAATTCTTGATCTTTTCTTAGGATCGGTACATGCTGTAAGATCAAATTACAAACTAAGGATCGGTACATTCTGTGAGATCAAATTACACACTTAGGGAACAATACATTCTGTAAGATCAAACTTCACACTTAGGATCGGTACATTCTGTAAGATCAAACTACACACTTAGGATCGGTACATTCTGTAAGATCAACCTACACCCTTAGGATCGGTACATTCTGTAAGATCAAATTACACACTTAGGTTCGGTACATTCTGTAAAATCAAACTACACACTTAGGATCGGTACATTGTGTAAGATCAAATTACATACTTAGGGATCGGTACATTCTGTAAGATAAAACTACACACTTAGGATCGTTACATTGTGTAAGATCAAATTACATACTTAGGGCTCGGTACATTCTGTAAGATCAAACTACACACTTAGGATCGGTACATTCTGTAAGATTAAATTACACACTTAGGATCGGTACATTCTGTTAGATCAAACTACAGACTTAGGATCGGTACATGCTGTAAGATCAAATTACACACTTAGGATCGGTACATTCTGTAAGATCAAATTACACACTTAGGATCGGTACATTCTGTTAGATCAAACTACACACTTAGGATCGGTACATTCTGTAAGATTAAACTACACACTTATGATTGGTACATTCTGTAAGATCAAACTACACACTTAGGGATCGGTACATTCTGTAAGATCAAACTACACACTTAGGATCGGTACATTCTGTAAGATCATACTACACACTTAGGATCAGTACATTCTGTAAGATCAAACTACACATTTAGGATCGGTACATTCTGTAAGATCAAACTACACACTTAGGATCGGTACATTCTGTAAGATCAGATTACACACGGAATGGTGTTGTAATGTTTATAAGGTTTTGGTGAAGTAAAGTGTGCTGCAAATTAATTGAGGATGATACAGGTGTTCTCCAAAGGTTACAACAACTGTTGTGGTAGTTCAATATCGATATATATATATAATAACAAAAAGTATTAAATTGCAATTGTGACATCACAATGTTGTCCTTTTGAAATAAACTTGAAGAGTCCTGGGAAGGTTGAAAGCAGCTTGTTTTTTAGTTGGTCCTTAGATCTGATTATTTCTCTCTCTCTCTCTCTATATATATATATATTTTAATACATGTACTCTGACTGTCAATATGCCTCTAGCTATTCTAATACTGGGACTGTCTAGACTGTCAATATGCCTCTAGCTATTCTAATACTGGGACTGTCTACAGCAACTTGTGTCTTGCTTTTCCATTAATCAGCTATTCTAATACTGTGCAGTAAATATGGAACTTCTCACGTGTGCAAATGTTCACATTGTGATTCTTTATCTGGTCGCAGTGTGGAAATATTTGTACTGGGAAAGGTCCTGAAATCTATCTATAATCTATGGTTACAATTTACAGATAATCCTAATGTTTGTATAATCTATATAAACTATAAACAAATACTTGCATGTATCTGTCTTTTCAGATTTTAACAAAAATTACCACACTCCCGCATGTGAGGGAGGTTCACATCCAGCCGTCCAATCAGGAGCCACTTTTAACAGTAGTGTTGCTAACCTGACTAACACCATGACAACTTTAATCATGGATACTGTTACTAACGACAGCACCACCCCGAGCCATATCCAAAGTGTTGGAGAGTGTCTAAGGGAGAACAGTGTACTGTTTCTCTTACTAATGCTTGGTACAGTGTGGACAGGACTCACACTGTATAACTTCACAAAAACGTACGTATAACTTAACAAAACATATGTATAACTTCACAAAAACGTAAGTATGACTTCACAAAACATTCGTATAACTTCACCAAAACGTACGTATAACTTCACAAAACATACGTATAACTTCACAAAACATACGTATAAATTCACAAAACATACGTATAACTTCACCAAAACATACATATAACTTAACAAAACATATGTATAACTTCACCAAAACAAACGTATAACTTCACCAAAACGTTCGTATAACTTCACAAAAATGTACGTATAACTTCACAAAACATACGTATAACTTCACCAAAACGTACGTATAACTTCACAAAACATATGTATACCTTCACCAAAATGTACGTAAAACTTCACAAAACATACGTATAACTTCACCAAACATACGTATAACTTCACCAAAACATACATATAACTTAACAAAACATACGTATAACTTCACCAAAACGTATGTATAACTTCACAAAAACGTACGTATAACTTCACCAAAACGTACGTATAACTTCACAAAACATACGTATAAGTTCACAAAACATATGTATAACTTCACAAAACATACGTATAACTTCACAAAACGTACGTATAACTTAACAAAACATATGTATAACTTCACCAAAACAAACATATAACTTCACCAAAACGTACGTATAACTTCACCAAACATACGTATAACTTCACCAAACATACGTATAACTTCACCAAAACAAACATATAACTTAACAAAACATATGTATAACTTCACAAAACATACGTATAACTTCACCAAAACATACGTATAACTTAACAAAACATATGTATAACTTCACAAAACATACGTATAACTTCACCAAAACATACGTATAACTTAACAAAACATATGTATAACTTCACCAAAACAAACATATAACTTCACCAAACGTACGTATAACTTCACAAAACATATGTATAACTTCACCAAAACGTATGTATAGCTTCACAAAAACGTACGTATAACTTCACAACAACGTACGTAAAACTTCACAAAAAGGTACGTATAACTTCACAACAAAGTACGTAGCATTAATGAATCTTTCTTGTTTGGAAGCAGACTCCAATTTTATTCACCCTTGTGAAATCATCAAATATTTGTAAACCTTGCTTTTGCTGCGAACTCAGTTCATTCAGTGAATAGAAAAGTCGTGACAATTACACCATTATTCTGTCTATTAGGGTAGGCCAAAGTAAGTACCATTGGACTTTTTAGATTTTGCTGTGTTGTTACTTTCTCCCAGAGGTAAAATTTGAAAGGTTTGCAGATCTGAAGGAGAAATAAAAATGGCAAAAATATTTTTCAAGAGGGAAATTTTAGTCTTTAATTGAGAAACAGCTTTCAAATCAAGGCTGATAAAGGGAGATAATATGGTAAAAATACAAAATATGGAAATTTATATCAATAATATCAAATTTCAGTATGTGTGTGTTTATCCTGCTTAGTAAGTTGCATATATTCAAGTGGTGCACAAACCCACTCACATTTATTAATTATCTGAAAATTTATCTGAAATTTTTTAATTTTGTCACTAACATTTTGTCATTTTGCTGTGGCTTGAAGTGTTGTATTTTTGACAATGTAAATGTATTTTCTGATTTGCATAATGGAATAATATTGATGAACATTATATTTTATAAATCTGAGGATACTGTAAGACCTAAATAAATTACCTACATTGCCATACCCTGTCCTTTCACAGAAAATTGGATTTAGTATATCAGTTCAACAGGTTTTGCTGCAGAAACAAAATCTCTGAGGGGAAAGCAAATTCACATAAACTTGGCATTTTTTCTGTCCAAACTGACCAATGCTAATCATATGAGTGTGACATAATTGACTGGGTACTCATTGTAAGCTCAAAGGTCAGAAATTGACCAACACTGACCATCTGTGATACCATAATTCTCTATTTTTTTGTGTATGTATTTCAGGCCATTCCTAAATGCAAGTAAGCGTGAGATGTTAGCAGACTATGCACTTCCTGTTGCTGTAATCCTCATGTCTATTTTTGGATCTATTGTCTTCAGGGATATCAAATGTAAGTGAGTTGTCATCATTAAAATGTCAGATATATGTGGATGTCATCAGAAAGATGTCAGATATATGTAGATGTCATCAGAAGGATGTCAAATATATGTGGATGTCATCAGAAGGATGTCAGATATATGTAGATGTCATCAGAAGGATGTCAAATATATGTGGATGTCATCAGAAGGATGTCACATATATGTAGATGTCATCAGAAGGATGTCAGATATATGTGGATGTCATCAGAAGGATGTCACATATATGTGGATGTCATCAGAAGGATGTCAGATATATGTGGATGTCATCAGAAGGATGTCAGATATATGTGGATGTCATCAGAAGGATGTCACATATATGTAGATGTCATCAGAAGGATGTCAGATATATGTGGATGTCATCAGAAGGATGTCAGATATATGTGGATGTCATCAGAAGGATGTCACATATATGTAGATGTCATCAGAAGGATGTCAGATATATGTGGATGTCATCAGAAGGATGTCAGATATATGTGGATGTCATCAGAAGGATGTCACATATATGTGGATGTCATCAGAAGGATGTCAGATATATGTGGATGTCATCAGAAGGATGTCAGATATATGTGGATGTCATCAGAAGGATGTCAGATATATGTGGATGTCATCAGAAGGATGTCAGATATATGTGGATGTCATCAGAAGGATGTCAAATATATGTGGATGTCATCAGAAGGATGTCAGATATATGTAGATGTCATCAGAAGGATGTCAAAAATATATGTGGATGTCATCAGAAGGATGTAACATATATGTGGATGTCATCAGAAGGATGTCAGATATATGTGGATGTCATCAGAAGGATGTCATATATGTAGATGTCATCAGAAGGATGTCAAAAATATATGTGGATGTCATCAGAAGGATGTAACATATATGTGGATGTCATCAGAAGGATGTCAGATATATGTAGATGTCATCAGAAGCTGAGCTTTATATTAGAGCGTTAAAGGTTCATCCTGTTATAGGTAGCAGCATGTCATGAGAAAATGGGTAGCAATGGTTTAGACTAGGAGATGCCAAAAACAATAATTCAACAAAAATACACATTGAATGAAGATTACCGTAAACTTTTGTGATGCAAGTCATATTTACAAGTACAATTCTTATGTTTAACCACACATCTGTTGTGTTTTATTTGACAGTAAAACCATTTGAATACAAGCCTGCTGAAAGCCTGTTTAGGTTAGCACCTCTCCACACACTGCCAGCATCAGCTGTATTTGCAGCAGCAGGACTTGGCTTTAGTCTCTCTCTCCTGTTCTTCATGGATCAAAACATATCCAGTGCCCTCGTCAACACACCTTCAAACAAGTAAGTCAGCCATAGTAAACTAAACATAGAAACAAGTAGGTCAGCCATAGTAAACTAAACACAGAAACAAGTAGGTCAGCCATAGTAAACACAGAAACAAATAGGTCAGCCATATATAGTATACACAGAAATATGTAGGTCTGCCATAGTAAACACAGAAACATGTAAATCTGCCATAGTAAACACAGAAACAAGTAGGTCAGCCATATATAGTAAACACAGAAACATGTAGGTCAACCATATTAAACACTGAAACAAGTAGGTCAACCATATATAGTAAAAACAGAAACATGTAGGTCTGCAATAGTAAACACATAAATATGTAGCTCAGCTAAAGCCAACACAGAAACAAGTAGGTCAACCGTAGTAAACACAGAAACAAGTAGGTCAGCCGTAGTAAACACAGAAACAAGTAGGTCAGCCATAGTAAACACAGAAACAAGTAGGTCAACAATATATAGTAAAAACAGAAACAAGTAGGTCAGCCATAGTAAACACTGAAACAAGTAGGTCAACCATAGTAAACACAGAAACAAATAGGTCAACCAGATATAGTAAAAACCGAAACAGGTAGGTCAACCATATATAGTTAAAACAGAAACAAGTAGGTCAGCCGTAGTAAAAACAGAAACAAGTAGGTCAACCATATATAGTAAAAACAGAAACAAGTAGGTCAACCATATATAGTAAAAACAGAAACAAGTAGGTCAACCATATATAGTAAAAACAAAAACAAGTAGGTCAACCATATATAGTAAAAACAGAAACAAGTAGGTCAACCATATATAGTAAAAACAGAAACAAGTAGGTCAGCCATAGTAAACACTGACACAGTAGGTCTGCCATAGTAAACACTGAAACAAGTAGGTCAACCATATATAGTAAAAACAGAAACATGTAGGCCTGCCATAGTAAACACAGAATCATGTTGCTCAGCTAAAGCCAACACAGAAACAAGTAGGTCAGCCATAGTAAACACAGAAACAAGTAGGTCAGCCGTAGAAAACACAGAAACAAGTAGGTCAACCATTTATAGTAAAAAAAGAAACAAGTAGGTCAGCCATAGTAAACACAGAAACAAGTAGGTCAACAATATATAGTAAAAAACAGAAACAAGTAGGTCAGCCATAGTAAACACAAAAACAAGTAGGTCAACCACAGTAAACACAGAAATAAATAAGTCAACCATAGTTAAAAAAAAAAAGGTAGGTCAGAAAAAATAAAAAATGCAAACAAATAGATCAATCCTAAAAAAATACAACCAGATGAGATAAAATACAGCTAGTAGATCAATCATTTTTTAAATACAAATCTTTGTAGGTTTATCATAATCAACATACAGGAAAACATATATTTACACACACAGTCTGTCAACCAAGCCTTAATAAGCTGAAAATCTGAGATATCAATATTTTTGTCTTCAACCATGATGTCATCTCCGTAATATCACTGGGGTCAACATGTATACCCCAAAATATGTTTTACTTTACAGGCTCAAAAAGGGATCTGCTTACCACTGGGATCTGTTTGTGGTAGCTGTCCTCAATGCTGTGCTGTCTATCTTCACCTTACCGTGGATCCACGCTGCACTGCCCCACTCTCCCCTCCACGTGAAGGCTCTGGCTGACCTTGAGGATAGGATAGAGCAAGGTCATGTCCATCAGGTGTAAGTACTGACTAATTTACTTATCGTCCATATACTACATTCTGTACTAATATGCCATATATCAAATGTCAATATTGTCAAAAATTACTCGGCCAATTCTGATTTGAATTAAGCATTTGATATCAAAATACTTTTGGATACATCAGAGTCGTCCATGTTCGGGAGACACGCCTAACCGGGATTATCTCACATGTGATGATTGGCCTGTCCATGTTCCTGCTGCCCTACCCAATGGCCTACATCCCCCGTCCAGTTCTAGATGGACTCTTCCTGTATGTGGCAATCACAGCTCTCAATGGCAACCAGATGTTTGACCGCATCCTTCTTCTCTTTACAGAGCAGGTACAGTATACATAGCCATAATGGTTTAGCTTACTGCAAGGAATAGTTCAGGTGTATCAGTACACTTTAACTGTGTAAGTTTGAAGTCATAAACAACCTTTTGTTATTAATGATGGGTTGTTCATATACTGCAACTTAATTCATATTTGTGAGCACTGTAAACATACTTATTTTGGAGCATTATCAAATTTTAACAGATTAGCTCATTGATGGATTGGTTTACCTGCAAATATGCAATAAGTGACAATTTGCAGAAATATCAATTAGCTCTAATGCAATTTAGCAAAACGGTTTAAGCGCAAAAGGCGCTAAAAATAGACTGCCACTACATCATGGAACAGTTTAACTGTGCTGTAATTTGTGATTAACATTCGTAGGTAATATATAAGTGATTCATAGAACATACCACAACTATCCAACTTGTTTACCGGTCTCCTCAATCCAACACGTACTTGTGTTGCAGGCTGCTTACCCTCCTAACCACTATGTGCGTCGAGTACCCCAGAGGAAGGTCCATTTGTTCACAGCTATACAAATGATCCAGCTGTTTGTCCTCTGTATTTTTGGTTTCTCACCCATTCCCTACATGAAGATGGTCTTCCCTATCCTTCTCATGGTGCTTATGCCAATTAGGTGAGTATAAATGAGTCTACAACTTCTTCTAAAGAAGACCTTGAGAGTAAAAATATTTGGCATGTCCGTCACCGAAATGCTTTGAAATCTGGGCAAATAAATGCCCTTAAGCTATATTCAAGGTCATGGCACTGAACTTGAAAAAATAAACTCTTGAAAGTAACTTGAGTGTTAAAATTTGGTTTGTATCCTTCTAAGGTAACAGTTGTCTTGTTTTCTTAAGTAGATGAACTGAATATATATTCATAAGCTAAAATCTTCTTTTACTGAACATTGAGCTTTGAGTAATGACATTGGACTTGCAGTTTGCTGAGAAAGGGGGTTTGTAGTTTGTTCCAATAAATTGCCTTGGCCACTTTCATTGTCATAAGGATTTAAAATTTGAGACATCTTTTCTCAAGAACTGCAAGGCCTTTGTTTTCATGCCTGGGTATTTGATAAGTAGATCACTGAGGCAAATGGCCAACAAGTTTGTTCCAATAAAGAATGTTATGTGTGGAGGAAAGAGTAAACAGTACTGGTGAGATTAATTTTTGGCTATATCAGATCTTCCTGAATTACAAAAAAAATCTCAATGTTATCACCATTTGGATTTGTTTTAGAAATTGTGAGTCTTCATTAAAAAAACCTATCTTTTACAGACACAAACTTGTTCCCAAACTCATCGAGCCCAAATACCTGAAGGCCTTGGATGGACACTGAATGGAGGAGACCTGAATGGAGGTGACCTTTACATGACCTTGAATACCACAGGAAATTACCATAGTTTGACCTTGAGTGTCACATTAGATGACCAAATGACGAATACGTTCCCTAGTTGACCTCAGTTTGACCTATGATGTCACAATGGATGGTGGGGAGGATGACTGACTCATTGGAGAGATAACAAGGATGTCTCTGTGATAGAACATATTGTAACTGGTGCCAAATTGAAAATAAAGTCATCACATGTAAAACATACTACAGCGTGTTACTACCATGAACTGTTTATGACAAATCAAATTTCAGAAATATTTTAAGATGGGTTTTTTAAATACAAACATTTCAAATGTCTTGAAAATTAAGAATGATTAAGTCCTTTGTAGAACAAAATTTGGTTTCTGGACTAGTGTGACTAGTGTGTGACTAGTGTGACTAGTGTGTGACTAGTGTGACTAGTCAATTAAGGTGTCATACAGGTTTATCCCTGTATACATCAATAGAACCTTCCCTTACCATAACACGACAGGGAAGTCACAACCCGGGGGGTGATATGCTTGATTGTTTAATCCGAGACTTTTGGTTTGAAGCTGAGGGTTAGATATTGAAGGATCTCACTGTGAGATTTCTCTGGTATACCATCACCTTAATGGATGATTCTCTTTCTCCCATCCTTTTCATACTGTATTAAAGAAAATGGATTTCGGCATTTATTACTGTTTTACCCTGATATGCACATGACATCTCCTGTTCATAACTGATTGTGATGTCGTATTCATTGTTCATTGTAATCTTTCCCTACTGTTTCTGTCATAAATAGGAGTGAAAGAGGCACACTGAATAGGTGAAATGAGAGACAATTCTGTAAACGTGGGAAAAGTGGTGATCTGTACCTGTATGCTCATTCATACCTGTAAAAAGGCAGGTTTTATGGTGACAATAACACACCTGTATGGTAAAGTTGAAGAACAATTTTAAACCTGTCTGGGTGAAGGTGACATGCCAGTATGATAAAGGTGACACACCTGTATGTTTAGGTGTACCTGTGTGGTGATGCACCATCAGTATGACATACATTTGTACCTGTGTGATGATGACACCTATATCTTACCTATAACATGACACACCTGTAGTATGTTCTCACCTGTGCTCTAGTATACCATAGTACACCAGCCAATGCAACGAGTCCCCTGGTTGGGACACCTTCACACACCTCTTACTACTTGCAGTAGTATTAGGTACATGTACTCTATATATTCACACAGAATCAAAACTGTATCTACACATTTTATGATATGCACACTGTTTTGTACCAATTTATAAGCAAGTTGTTGACAACATCTGTAAATACATACATTTTATGATCATTCATCATAACATTACAGCTTCAGTTCAATTTAGGACATTTAATATGGGATACACGTTCATATTATTTGAGCCAGAATTCTGTATGTTGGGCCTTTGCAAATAATTCAAGAGTTAAATGACTGCATACGTTTGTTGTCTCTAAAAAGAACCACTGATTCTATGAGGTTTCCACAGTATGGTGTCCTGTTACAGGCCTCGCCCTAGAAATATATATATATAATGCAATTATCACAGAATGTTTGTAATAACCGTTATGTTTTCTGAAAGTTTATCACAGTTGTATTTGTATATTTGTTTACCAGGTGCGAGACATTCCAGTGGGGTATGCTGCACGATATATATGTATTGGGGTAACTCATGATTAATCTGAGTGTCCCATGTAAGGGAATTTATCTAGTTCCTGTACTGGAAAATAAACTAAATATGTTTATCTACAAATTGTGTTGTGACATGCTTCAAAGCATTATTCCTAAAGAGCCTAGTTGTTGCCTATTTTCTGATGTAACACTCAGATCTCATTCCGACTGGTTAACAGATTGTGTGTTAACTGTGTAGAATTGTATCTCTACCGTACATGTCAATATCCGACGTCGAAGATAACATAACTTTGTTGTAGGGAAAATACATCCATAAGCGTTTAGTGTAAATTGTCTTTTTCATTATAGTGGATTCAAAAGGTATGTAACAAAAGTCTGAACTAATTACAAGTACATAAGTTGAGGCTCTGCTTCATTGGATTGAAATGACTTCATCAATTTAAGTTTTACTGAAAATTGTGGAGATTCATTCTTATGCACCATCTGCCATGTAAAATACATGTATGATATAAACTGCCAAGTTGGTGGAATATGAAAATATCAGCAAGCATATGTTGCTTTTCCAATATATTTGTTTAAAGGATCCAAGTTATGTTATTAGCCAAAATGCATAGTCTGAACTAGGTTTCAGAACTCTTAACCCTTTCCTGCTGCCTATGCCATATCTTTCAACGGATGACTTTTTGATATTTCGTAAAATATGCATATTCATGATTTGATTTAAACATAATTTATAATTTTTATTTGCATCTACATGTAATATACAAAAGGGATTGGGCACAAGTTGTCCAACTTATGTAAAGCCCTTTCCCATATTCATGAAAAGTCACAAACATCCATTATTGTTTTCTTTCCCCTCTCAGTAATAAAGCAGACAGCTGCTGAGATAAACTGGCCAGTTGATATATACGATTGTATTTTCAAAATTCAAAAATTGATTTTGTGAAAGATATGGCAGTATTGTTGTTCCATGATGTCTGCCATGTACAATGAATGCTGTACATACATGACTTCTTGTAACACACTTTGTATGTCTGAGAGTATTAAAATCTTGAATGTTGCTTTATTATACCAATTTAAACCAGCATCTTCAGAGTAAAACCCTGTTATTTTGTCATTTTTCCAGTGAAATATTAACATTATAAGGTTGTTAGGATTTGGTAATACACCAAAGGAAACAAAGGAATTCACGAGAAATAAAGAACAAGAGACTTTAACATGTGTTGGTGATGAGCTTTATGTTTTAATACAATGAGGTCAGGCATTATATTAAGGTTTTACTGTATATATTTCTTGTAGTTTTATACATGTAAATAACTACAGCTATTGTGCCAAATAGCATATCTGCATAGAAGAGTGTTTTATTAAAAAAAAAAAAAAATATTGCCATTTTCCCAGTGTGCTAAAATAGATTACTGTTCTTGTACATGTGATGACTGTATATTTTTAGTACCAAAGATATAGGTTGAAGGTTAAAGAACTTATATTCATATAACATACTCCTATAGAAATAGAAAGCTATATTTATAAAGGTCATTAACAGATCTGTGATGTACTGTTTAGTAATACATTGTAAACAATATATTATTGATTTTCAGTTATATATGTTTACATGTCAGATAATTATACAAGATATACAAGAACTAAACCAAAGATAAGTAAAATCTACCATTTACAGATTATACTACCTGATTAGGACCGATAGTTTCTCCTAAGCACTAACACAAAGTTAGTTGATTATATATAAGATACCATTATATTTCCATCTAGAAAATAAAAAGCTTTACCACAATCAGCACTTTTCAATAAAAATAAATTCATTTGACAGACAATCATGAATCCTATTCGGAGATAAATGATTTAGGTGAAGCTTGAATACATATTATATAGCGACCTGTGTATTATCTACCCTATAAAAATGATAAAATTCATAAAAACTATGATATTTGTATTTTTGATGACACTCGGGAAGTGATCATGCTAATTTCTTTAAAACATGTAGGGGAGATAACTGATGCAAATCAGGCAAGATTGTTTTTCTCAATTTTCAGACAAGTTCGTTGTTTATATTCTTTTTATTTTCAGGAAGTGAAAGGTCCAAATCAACGTTGTTCTGCATTGTAAGAAAATGATGGTACAATGCTTTCTATTTAATAGTTCATTTGTATTAACTTGATTTATAAAGTACATTCCTATTATAATATACGTTACATTCAGTGTCAGAACTGCTAGTATATCCTGTTCACTGTGGGCAGTATTACTATCTAGTTTGTAATATTGATTTTATTTTCTAAAACAGGAGATCTGTGATAGCAACGTACTATAGTACCGTACATCTTGCTGTCCCTTCAGAAGTGATTAGAGCATGTCCATGAAGCTTGTCACCTTTTTTTTCCTAACATTTTGTAAAGTGCACCTTATTCTTATATTAATCCATGACATTTTGGTGGTAGCCTATGTTACAGAACTGATCATCAGGGTAGGGTAACTATATAACCACATCCCCATTACAATCTGATCAGAATAATTTCAGCTTTCATTTGCTTGTACATAGTAATTCTCAATATGATGTATTATGATTTTTTTGCAAATAGACAACATCTAACAAGGAAGTTAGAAAGAAATCAAACACTACAATCAAGACATGTAATACATGTACAATGTAATATTTTTCTCTACAACATTCAAAGAAAACAAGACAAATAGAAGACTCTTTGGGGCATTCAATAGAAATATTTACAATAAACCTACCATCACTTTCACTGTCAGCTTGTTGAATGGGACCATTAACATGTGTCAACTCATTGACCCCTGAAGTTCCATAGTGAACTATTCCAACCTTTGAATTGGAAGGGGACAAATGTGTCTTCAGGAGTGAATGAGTTAACAGTGCTTTATCCTTGTTTTAACAAAATCTTAGCTTGTGAATTTGTCTCAAAATAAGCCTGTTGTGATTATATACTCTTAAGAGAAATATTTTGCTACCATCACTGGTAACCACAATACAAAATCATTTACTGTATATTATATTGTTTATGGTATATATCAGTATCAGGTATGTACGAGTCGAGAAGCTAGGGTCGGTAAATAAGGTAGTAGTGTCCTGGTCAAGGGTAGATCTAGGCTTGGTCATCAAGGTTTGTCCTTTGTAACCCTGGTTTGGATTTGCATAAACAGGCATGCCATCCCATTTCAGATTTGTTTCCCCAAAATTTGGAATATGGACACCAACCAACCCATGTGAATTAAAATTCTTGGATGTGTGCCCAATGGTGAACAAATATTAATTACTGGTATGTCCTGTTTTAAGTTGCAGAGTATAACTGTTTGTTTAATGATTGTATAAATCTAGCAAGTCTGCACAATACCATTACAAGCACATCAGTCTGTGATTTTTATTTGTTGGTTATATTTTGTTAATGTTCTTAACCAATAAAAATATTTTCTGAAAGCAAATCGGATTCTTTTGTTATAATATCGTTGTAAATGAACCAAACAATTCAACAAATCACCAAAAGAAATTATCTTTGAATGAAATTTTATTTCAGCCTTTTAGTCTCGCGCTATCAAACGAGTGAAATGATTACAATATCTACATATTAATGAATTTGTTTTGTCAAAATTCAGAGAAAAATATTGGTCTTTAATGATGAACTATACAACACGGATACAATACATATATACAATGTTTATACAAAAGATGTTGGTCTGTCACAAGCAATTTCACACTCACAATTTCCTATGTTACATAAACTCAAAAACCATGCTCCAACTTCCCCTAAAAATGAGCTTTTAGAGATGCTTATTGCCATAGTACCTTAATTTATGGAGTTGGTAATTTCTATTGCCTTTGAAATTATTGCTCCAACTTTAGGCACTATTTGAAATTAACATGTTAAGACTCAATAAACAGGCTACAACAGTTACTCAGTTTTTTCCCTTGTTTTATGAAACATCTTGTCAAATTGTGTACAATTTGATTTCTGGGGTTTTTTTCCATCTAAAGGAACGTTCAGTAATGAGAAGTACAATGACAGATACATTGAAAAACTTATTTTCAGGAGAAAGTGGTGCAAGTTTTTACTGCTATAAATATAGGTTTCTGTATGATACATGGAGTTTGTAGTAGAAGCGCTATAGTAACAAGGGGCCCAGAGGGCCTGTATCGCTCACCTGGATATCTAAGCAATCATGGCAAAATATTCTCCAAATGCGATCCAAGGGAATATGCCAGACCCCAAGGCCAATCCTTGTAGTATATCTGTATTAGATTTTTCATGCCCAGCAATTTTATGTATGGTTATGGGGTGGGGATGTCAACTGTTTCCAAGCTTTGACTCAGAAACTAGGTCCCTAGGGTTGTGGCCAGACCCCAGGATCAATTCTAATATCATGACTGCATTCATCCCTTTATGCCCAGCATTTGTATTTATGGTTTTGGGGTGGGGATCTCAACTGTTACGAAGTTATGACCCAGGGGTTAAGTCTCCAAGGGTGGGGCACACCCCAAGGCCATCCTTTATGCTCAGCAATTGTAAATATGGTTATAGGATGGGGATCTCAACTGTTTCCAAGCTGTGAGTAAGAAACTAGGTCCCTAGGGGTTCGGTCAGACCCCAGGGTCTATTCTAGTATCATGACTGCATTCGTCTCTTTATGCCCAACAATTGTATATATAGTTTTGTGGTGGGGATCTTAACCGTTTCAAAGTTATGACCCAGGGGTTAAGTCTCCAAGGGTGGGGCAGACCCCAAGATTAAGTCTTGGAAGTGTATGTGCATTCATCTCTTTATACTCAGCAATTGTATATATGGTTATAGGGTGGGGATCTCAACTGTTTCCAAGCTATGACTAAGAAACTAGGTCCCTAGGGGTTTATTCTAATAGCATGACTGCATTAGTCTCATTATGCCCAGCATTTGTATATATAGTTTTGGGGTGGGGATCTCAACCGTTTCAAAGTTATGACCCAGGGACTATGTCTCCAAGGGTGGGGCCAGACCCCAAGGCCATCCTGGAAGCAAATGTGCATTCTTCTCTTTATAATCAGCAATTGTATATATGGTTATACGTTGGGGATCTCAACTATTTAAGTATTAAACTTTTTTGGCCCCATCCCTTAGCCCGGGGGTTAGCCCCACCATTTGTACAATTTTGAACCCCTGCCTCCCATGAATGCTTCCAACCACATATGATTGATATCCATGGCACAGTTCTACAGAAGAAGTCATTTATAGCAATATAGCCAAATTGCCCACTTTTGGCCCCGCCCCTCAGCCCCCACCATTTGTACAATTTTGAATCCCCACCACCTAGGGATGCTTCCAGTCAAATATGGTTGATATCCATCTCTTAGTTCCAGAGAAGAAATCGCTTAAATCAATATGGCCAAATAACCTTTTTTGGGCCCGCCCCTCAGCTCCCTTAGGGGTCAGCCCCAATATTTGACAATTTTGAATCCCCGCCTCCCATGAATGCTTCTGACTAAATATGATTGATATCCATGACAAAGTTCTACAGAAAAAGTTGTTCATATCAATATAGCCAAATTGCCCCCTTTTGGGTCAGCCCCACCATTTGTACAATTTTGAATCCCCACCACCTAGGGATACTTCCAGTCAAATTTAGTTAAATTCCAATTTGAAGAAATTGTTGACGTACGGACGACGGACGGACGACGGACGGACGAACGACGGACGGACGACAGATGCCACAGTATGGCATAAGCTCACCTTGGTCCTTTGGACCCAGTGAGCTAACAATTTAATGTAGAATATGTTGCTGACAGAGTAGGAGATGAATAGTCTTCTACAGTACTTATTTGTGTAGATGACCAGTTGTTGATCAGGAAGGACTGCCACCCTTCCACTTCCTGCAGTATTTGGTTGTGTAGATTGTTGTTAAAAGAAGGAAGGACTACTTCCCTTGAACATCATAAATACATTTAATTACATTCACAATGTAACAGTACATTGGTACACAACACTGTCACACAACTACCATAGCAATGCTTGAGGTCACATGACACTTTCATCATATGACCTGTCACGGTTGAGTGACACTTTCCCAGCATCACGAGATTCATCTTAGCACCTCTCAAGCTCACACACGTGTGTGAGGCTTTTCTCCAGGAGATGTTGAGACTAGTAGTTTGCTGGTGTGAGCTGTCCTTCTCCTCACAAGTACAAACTGGCAGCGAACACTATATCCCTCTTTATACTCCGGATAGCTGCAAATAGAACATCATTTGGAATAAGTACACATTTTTGAACTGTTGCAAATGTAACCTATGTTGGATTATTTCACATTAGTATGTTGTATCTGGCTTTAGTTACCAAATCTGAAGTACGTTGTATCTGGTTTTAGTTACCAAATCTTTAGTATGCTGTATCTGGTTTTAGTTACCAAATCTTTAGTATGCTGTATCTGGTTTTAGTTACCAAATCTTTAGTATGCTGTATCTGGTGTTAGTTACCAAATCTTAAGTACGTTCTATCTGGTTTTAGTTACCAAATCTTTAGTATGCTGTATCTGGTTTTAGTTACCAAATCTTTAGTATGCTGTATCTGGTGTTAGTTACCAAATCTTAAGTACGTTCTATCTGGTTTTAGTTACCAAATCTTTAGTATGCTGTATCTGGTTTTAGTTACCAAATCTTTAGTATGTTGTCTCTGGCTTTAGTTACCAAATCTTAAGTACGTTCTATCTGGTTTTAGTTACCAAATCTTTAGTATGCTGTATCTGGTTTTAGTTACCAAATCTTTAGTATGTTGTCTCTGGCTTTAGTTACCAAATCTTAAGTCCGTTGTATCTGGTTTTAGTTACCAAAACTTAAGTATGTTGTATCTGGTTTTAGTTACCAAATCTTTAGTATGCTGTATCTGGTGTTAGTTACCAAATCTTAAGTACGTTCTATCTGGTTTTAGTTACCAAATCTTTAGTATGTTGTATCTGGTCTTAGTTACCAAATCTGAAGTACGTTGTATCTAGCTTTAGTTACCAAATCTTAAGTACGTTCTATCTGGTTTTAGTTACCAAATCTTTAGTATGCTGTATCTGGTTTTAGTTACCAAATCTTTAGTATGCTGTATCTGGTGTTAGTTACCAAATCTTAAGTACGTTCTATCTGGTTTTAGTTACCAAATCTTTAGTATGTTGTATCTGGTCTTAGTTACCAAATCTGAAGTACGTTGTATCTAGCTTTAGTTACCAAATCTTAAGTACGTTGAATCTGGTTTTAGTTACCAAATCTTAAGTACGTTCTATCTGGTTTTAGTTACCAAATCTTAAGTATGTTGTATCTGGTTTTAGTTACCAAATCTTTAGTATGCTGTATCTGGTGTTAGTTACCAAATCTTAAGTACGTTGTGTCTGGTTTTAGTTACCAAATCTTAAGTACGTTGTATCTGGTTTTAGTAACCAAATCTTAAGTATGATGTACTTTGATTAGAAAACCAGAATCAGATGCATAATGGACAAAGGGAAAACTAAAATACAATGCTGACCATGCACACTTCTTTATGTGTGAAGGAAATGTATTATGTGAACTGTCTGAAGATTCACAAAACTCCACCAATAAGTCGAAGACAACCTTTAACTGTTTGACAGATTTTCTGCATACTTTTCTTAACACATCAGACTTTTTTTCCCTTGAAAGTCAATCAAGATAATGCTTTAGAATACGCTTAAAATCCATCTATCTCAAGAACCCATAGCACAAATCTCTTTCCAGTAGACCACATAGCATATGTACTGTTTATAAAGAAATCTAATCATTCTACAAACATGTAAGAGATCTGTTTCAGCAGTGCTTACCTTCTGCGAATTTGTTCTCCAGTTCAGTGTTACCAATGGCTTTGGCTGCTTGGCACATCTGTCTGAGTGTTTCTTCCAACCGTCGCATACACCGGATTATACTTCCTACAAGTCACAAAAATTGCATCAGTCATTTTTTGTTGGGTGGCTCAACGTCTGTCTATATGTCTTGGGTGGGTAAGTCTCTAAAGTTATGTTGGTTGCAAAAAAGTCTGTTAGGTAGGCCACCACCCACTTCTTACTGATGCTAAATACAAAAGTGGTAACACGTAGATTAAACCATAACCGCCATATAAAGTTGAAATATTAAACATCGTCTTTTTGGACGTTTCTTTCAAATCTTACCTTCAAATATGTCCGTCATTTTACAAATCTCTGCAAAAGTGGCCCCATTGCACCATGCATTGACAATGTCCATCATGTGAGGTTTGAACGACTCGACATACTGTTCCTCGTCCACCTCTATCTTGGCCTCCCGACTGACCCGTGCGATTCGTCGAGCTGTATCCTAGTCAAACAGCAAGACAGTATACCAGTTATGCTTAGAGTGGAGTTGGAAAGACTATCAGGATCCCCAGTGTCACAAATGTTTCTTGACTTATGTATAGCATTATCGAAGATAAGAAACAATCTTAAGGGAAGGAATTTTCCTTTAACTTCAGTGATGCTTTTAAAAAAAAAATATTCAGTTAGGAAATTAATTAAGAAACATTGGTGAAATTAAGGCCTGATTTGAGCAATCCAGTCGGTAGTAATTTCCACAACTTATTAGAACATCATCCCTAACTCTATTTTTTGAAAATTAACTTGATCATTTTTTTTTCTAAATATGTACCGTAAAACCCCATGTAATTTGTGCATCAGTCATTTGTATATTTTGCATACCTATGTAATTTGTGTGTCCTGAAAAAAGAGCTTCTACTCCTATATTTTGCTTGTCAAATTGGCACAATAGTTCAATTTTCTATTAAATAAACCTCTATCTCAGAAAAAACTTCAGTATTGTCCGATATTTCTTACAAAACTTATTATTACCTGCATGATTCTGAGCGGCCCAGATAAGGCCTCCGTCAGTTTGGGCATCTCATTGGATTTTTCCTCAAAGACAAAACAGCTCATGAGAGCACAGGTCTGTTGGGTTGTCAGATCATTGAACACACCGTTAAAGAGAAGTTCGGTAAGCAGGAGCTCATCCCCACTATAACAGGTACACATACATGTAAGAAAAACATCCCTCACAAGTCCTCAAACTAGTTCTATATCTAATGTCAAATTTATATTAGATGCCAACAACATTTCAATAAAGTAATTTGTATTCATTATCTTCTTGTGAAATTTGAAATTTCGTTTTTAAATCTTTGAAAAATTCTACCCATTTCATCATATTCTATTTCTTTCATAAATGGGCACGGTAACATAAAACCTTCATATCATTTTCTAATCATACAACATTAAAACAAGAATGACTTGATCAAAGAAAATATCTGAGATTGAAAACAATATTTAAATGATAAATTTCAAAAATAAGAAAGAATAGTAGAATCTTACCTGCTGATCTCACAAGCCACCCTGCCCTTTAGTTCTATGACATCAGAGGCAGTACAGTAACCAAGGCGCCGTAAGACCCGCTTGCGGCACTTTAATTCATCCATCTGCAGTAACGACTTCTTCTTCTTTAGCTCCAACTTAACGGCCTTCACATCATTCCCTACCTGTCGACACAGTAAGCTTTCATCAAACAATGTTAAATCACTTTTTTAAGTTTCAGAGATTTTCATGTATTTTGTGTACACAGGTAAGATTTGACTAAATGAAGTATTTATGATCTTGCACTAAAGAGGAAAGAATTCCAGGACATAAGCTATGTTGAAATCGGACACCTTCCATGGTCCTATTCAATGTATGACTTATGAAAAGATTCTTGTAACACAACCAATAAGTGTTTCTATGCGACGTTTCAGTGACTAGTACGATATGTACTCCATCACCTTCATCAGACAAATGACCAGTGAAGCGTATGTACACAAAGGTGTGGAATATGTATGAGTTGTCCACAACTCGATGTTGATTCGGCTATGCTGTAAGTGTCCCAAATGACTCTTTGTTCAACAATGCATGACCCTTCCCATTAGATTTGGACAACCTTGAATCTACCTCCTCTTGCTATAAATCAAGTATGATGATGTTTAACATTTATAGTTCTTGAGAAAAAGACTTGAACAACAGGGCCAATGTTGTTCTGTTCTCTGAATGATATGACCCAAAGTTTGAATCCCAAAACTTCCTGATCATACAGGTAATTAAAGTATGGACAATGAGATTGATGTCCCTTTCTAACAACCTACCTTTGCCCTCTCATACTCAGGGTAGTACTCTAGGTGGTACTTTTGTATAACAGCATTCATTGAACTTCCCCTAATACTCAGAATAGTACGATACACTTCGTTTATACTTGTGGAAGTACTTCTCTAGGTGGGGATGTTTGTAGTATTCTACCCCAATCTACCACTGGTAAAATGGTAGAACCACTCTAGGTGGGGATATTTGTAGTATTCTACCCCAATCTCCCACTGGTACTATGGTAGAACCACTCTAGGTAGGGATGTTTGTAGTATTTTACCCCAATCTACCACTGGTACTATGGTAGAACCACTCTGGGTAGGGATGTTTGTAGTATTCTACCCCAATCTACCACTGGTAAAATGGTAGAACCACTCTAGGTGGGGATGTTTGTAGTATTCTATCCCAATATACCACTGGTACTATGGTAGAACCACTCTAGGTAGGGATGTTTGAAGTATTCCACCCCAATCTACCACTGGTACTATTGTAGAACCACTCTAGGTAGGGATGTTTGTAGTATTTTACCCCAATCTCCCACTGGTACTATGGTAGAACCGCTCAAGGTGGGGATGTTTGAAGTATTCCACCCCAATCTACCACTGGTACTATGGTAGAACCACTCAAGGTGGGGATGTTTGAAGTATTCCACCCCAATCTACCACTGGTACTATGGTAGAACCACTCTAGGTAGGGATGTTTGTAGTATTCTATCCCAATATACCACTGGTACTATGGTAGAACCACTCAAGGCGGGGATGTTTGAAGTATTCCACCCCAATCTACCACTGGTACTTTGGTAGAACCACTCTAGGTAGGGATGCTTGTAGTATTCCACCCCAATCTACCACTGGGACTATTGTAGAACCACTCTAGGTAGGGATGTTCGTAGTATTCCACCCCAATCTACCACTGGGACAATGGTAGAACCACTCTAGGTAGGGATGTTTGTAGTATTCTATCCCAATATACCACTGGTACTATGGTAGAACCACTGTAGGTAGGGATATTTGTAGTATTCCACCCCAATCTACCACTGGTACTATGGTAGAACCACTCTAGGTGGGGTAGTTTGTAGTATTCCACCCCAATCTACCACTGGTACTATGGGAGAACCACTCTAGGTGGGGATGTTTGTAGTATTCTACCCCAATCTACCACTGGTACTATGGTAGAACCACACTAGATAGGGATGTTTGTAGTATTCCACCCCAATCTACAACTGGTACTATGGTAGAACCACTCTAGGTAGGGATGTTTGTAGTATTCCACCCCAATCTACCACTGGTACTATGGTAGAACCACTCTAGGTAGGGATGTTTGTAGTATTCTACCCCAATCTACCACTGGTACTATGGTAGAACCACTCTAGGTAGGGATGTTTGTAGTATTCTACCCCAATCTACCACTGGTACTATGGTAGAACCACTCTAGGTAGGGATGTTTGTAGTATTCTACCCCAATCTACCACTGGTACTATGGTAGAACCACTCTAGGTAGGGATGTTTGTAGTATTCTACCCCAATCTACCACTGGTACTATGGTAGAACCACTCTAGGTAGGGATGTTTGTAGTATTCTACCCCAATCTACCACTGGTACTATGGTAGAACCACTCTAGGTAGGGATGTTTGTAGTATTCTACCCCAATCTACCACTGGTACTATGGTAGAACCACTCTAGGTAGGGATGTTTGTAGTATTCTACCCCAATCTACCACTGGTACTATGGTAGAACCACTCTAGGTAGGGATGTTTGTAGTATTCTACCCCAATCTACCACTGGTACTATGGTAGAACCACTCTAGGTAGGGATGTTTGTAGTATTCTACCCCAATCTACCACTGGTACTATGGTAGAACCACTCTAGGTAGGGATGTTTGTAGTATTCTACCCCAATCTACCACTGGTACTATGGTAGAACCACTCTAGGTAGGGATGTTTGTAGTATTCTACCCCAATCTACCACTGGTACTATGGTAGAACCACTCTAGGTAGGGATGTTTGTAGTATTCTACCCCAATCTACCACTGGTACTATGGTAGAACCACTCTAGGTAGGGATGTTTGTAGTATTCCACCCCAATCTACCACTGGTACTATGGTAGAACCACACTAGATAGGGATGTTTGTAGTATTCTAACCCAATCTACCACTGGTACTATGGTAGAACCACTCTAGGTGGGGATATTTGTAGTATTCTCCCCCAATCTACCACTGGTACTTTGGTAGAACAACTCTAGGTAGGGCTGTTTGTAGTATTCTACCCCAATCTTACACTGGTACTATGGTAGAACCGCTCTGGGTAGGGATGGTTGTAGTATTCTACCCCAATATACCACTAGTACTATGGTAGAACCACTCTGGGTAGGGATGTTTGTAGTATTCTGCCCCAATCTACCACTGGTACTATGGAAGAACCACTCTAGGGGGGGATATTTGTAGTATTCTACCCCAATCTTACTCTGGTACTATGGTAGAACCACCCTAGGTGGGGATATTTGTAGTATCCCCAATCTACCACTGGTACTATTGGTACTATGGTAGAACCACTCAAGGTGGGGATGTTCGTAGTATTCTACCCCAATCTACAACTGGTACTATGGTAGAACCACTCTAGGTGGGGATATTTGTAGTATTCTACCCCAATCTTACTCTGGTACTATGGTAGAACCACACTAGATAGTGATGTTTGTAGTATTCTAACCCAATCTACCACTGGTACTATTGGTACTATGGTAGAACCACTAGGTAGGGATGTTTGTAGAATTCCACCCCAATCTACCACTGGAACTATGGGAGAACCACTCTAGGTGGGGATGTTTTTAGTATTCTACCCCAATATACCACTGGTACTATGGTAGACCCACTCTAGGTGGGGATGTTTGTAGTATTCTACCCCAATATACCACTGGTACTATGGTAGAACCACTCTAGGTGGGGATATTTGTAGTATTCTACCCCAATCTACCACTGGTACTATGGTAGAACAACTCTAGGTGGGGTCTGCGTAACAAACCTACCTTAGCTTTCTTTTCGTAATCCTTGTAGTATTCCTCCAGATTGGGGTCTTTGTGTAGTGGGTGGGAGTACATTCTGTGCTCAAATGCCTCAATTTTCTGATGATGAATAAAGTATATTGCATAAAATATCTATATCATTTAATTATAAAACACATTTTACTCTATGCCAATAACAGTTTTCCTTTACACATTTTACTGTCAGCTATTTGCCATTACAAAATTAGCATAAGGATCTTTTAGAGTAAAAGATTCTGACGTGATCTATTTTAGGAATACCAATACTAGATAAGATAAACTGTCTCATGGCCACATAAAGGGAATTTATCCAGCAACTGACCTTGACAATCTCCTTGAGACCTTTCTCCCTGATGCCCATGTCCTCTACGGGGTCGAGAAGTGGCACACCATCGGGGAACCTCTTCTCCACTTCCTGGAGAGACTTTGACACACTCTGTCTGTTGTCAGGTGGACGAAGGTCCTGGGGGATGTACAGTCTCACAGCACTGACTGCCTGGATCAGACTGGTTACCACGGGAACAACCTCAACAAAACAAACCATAAAACCACATAAAACATGGACTGAAATCAAAGAGTAAACACTCACTAACTAAAGATTCTCTGACCTATCTGACCATTTTTTGGTGGGCGTTATGTCCGATTTGTTCGATACCATAGCAATATACTGTAAAAACCATCTTAACTGAAAAACCCAGTATCATAACCCTCACCCTACCCCACCCACACAATAGCTGGATTTACGGTTCACACATATATCAACAATTACTGAAGTATAGATCTGGTTTCCATAGAACTCGATTTATTCAGTGTGTCCTGTTAAAAGACAAGATTAAAATCACATTTTTATGATGAAATATTGGTGCTAATGCCATTCCTTTAGTATTGTAATTATTTCTTTCTAGTCATTGAAGATAAGAATAAAAAGCTGTGAATTTCAAAAAAAATATGAATTTGTAACATATTGTTCATACCTGCATTTCACCGCGCGTGCCTGAGGAACACGGTTTTATAGAGGCTATATTACGTGAGCGGGCACTATCCTTGGTCAGGTTCAGTAAGACCTCGGCCACATACACTGCGTCTGCCACCTCTACTGACTATAAACACAATGTTTGATCATACATAGCATACAGTCTAGTATTGAAATGCGGACTCAGGTCTCAGTTGTCCACATACTCTAAGTGGAAAGGAAATGAAAATGGATCTTTTGAGTGGGATTGGTATTTGTTAACCAATGATATCTAGTCGGTAAGTAGGAACAGAACAATTTACCTGTCATCAATTAAATGTACAAGTTTTGTCAGATAAAGGAAAATATAAGGATAAAATACCTAGCAAATATATACTAACTTTATTTTTTATTTAATGTCTTTTTTTTCCAACATACACAATCCATATCCTTAGACTAATGATAGAGGAATATAAATTCTGCACTATATTGCGTATCAGAAGTGATGCAGGTTTTTTTTATTGTTTAACTGTATTTTATAATAGTATTCTTTGAACTGTCCTCCCTTTTAAAAGCATGTTACTGAGGGCATCTGCCATTAAATATTACAAATACAATACATGGTTGTCTCCCCTTACATTTTTGGTTGACAGTCCATAGATATAAATATGGATGGAATATGGAATATATCTTACCTTCTTCTGGTTTGACTTTTTCTGTAGGTTGACAAGTACTCCCCAGCCAAAGTCATGCTCTCCATTTTTCACCTTAAAAATATACAGGTTAATTCTAGAGTAGGGGTAAAATTGCTGTAAAACAGGACAGAGATTTTATAGATGTGTTTTGTATATAAGTTTGCCTTTGCCTTTCTTACAAATTGGGTTTTTTACAACATGAAGATGTATTTCGGGAAAAACCTCAAAAATTATCTGAGTTATATCATTTAAAAATACACAGAATCAGTGATGCAGAATGATTCTGTCATCTGGTCAACATTTCACTTATCTGCTAGTTTTGTTGTGTATGTTTTGAAAAGTATTCATTTGAATCGCATACAGGTAGTTAACGATGAACAATTTACTAATTTAAACATGTATATAATAATTATGAAACAATGTCATGAGAAAGACAGAAGGTACCAGATATTGAGTTGTCTTGATAACCCTACCTGGCTGTAAGATTTGCCTTGATAACCCTACCTGGTTGTAAGATTTGCCTTGATAACCCTACCTGGTTGTAAGATTTACCTGGATAAACCTGCCTGGTTGTTAGATTTACCTTGATAAACCTGCCTGGTTGTAAGATTTACCTGAATAAACCTGCCTGGTTGTAAGATTTACCTCAATAAACTTGTCTGGTTGTTAGATTTACCTTGATAAACCTGCCTGGTTGTAAGATTTACCTTGATAAACCTGCCTGGTTGTAAGATTTAACTGGATAAACCTGTCTGGTTGTAAGATTTACCTTGATAAACCTGCCTGGTTGTAAGATTTACCTGGATAAACCTGCCTGGTTGTTAGATTTACCTGGATAAACCTGCCTGGTTGTAAGATTTAACTGGATAAACCTGCCTGGTTGTAAGATTTAACTGGATAACCCTGCCTGGTTGTAAGATTTAACTGGATAAACCTGCCTGGTTGTATGATTTACCTGGATAACCCTGCCAGTTTGTAAGATATACCTGGATAAACCTGCCTGGTTGTAAGATTTACCTTGATAACCATACCTGGTTGAAAGATTTACCTTGATAACCCTGCCTGGTTGTTTGATAACGCTGCCTGGTTAAAGATTTACTTTGATAAACCACCAATGTTGTAAGATTTACCTTGATAACCCTGCTAGGTTGTACAATTTACCTTGATAACCCTGCCAGGCTGTAGCTTTTACCTTGATAACCCTGCCAGGTTGTAAGAATTACCTGGATAAACTTGCCAGGTTGTAAGATATACCTGGATAAACTTGCCAGGTTGTAAGATATACCTTGATAAACCTGCCTGGTTGTAAGATTTACCTTGATAACCCTGTCAGGTTGTAAGATTTACCTTGATAACCCTGCCTGGTTGTAAGATATACCTGGATAAACCTGCCTGGTTGTAAGATTTACCTTGATAACCATACCTGGTTGAAAGGTTTACCTTGATTACCCTGCCTGGTTGTTTGATAACCCTGCCTGGTTAAAGATTTACTTTGATAAACCTCCAATGTTGTAAGATTTACCTTGATAACCCTTCCAGGTTGTAAGATTTACCTTGATAGCCTTGCCAGGTTGTAAGATTTACCTTGATAGCCTTGCCTGGTTGTAAGATTTACCTTGATAAACCTGCCTGGTTGTAAGATTTACCTTGATAACCCTGCCAGGTTGTAAGATTTACCTTGATAACCCTGCCTGGTTGTAAGATTTACCTTGATAAACTTGCCAGGTTGTAAGATATACCTGGATAAACCTGCCTGGTTGTAAGATTTACCTTGATAACCATACCTGGTTGAAAGGTTTACCTTGATTACCCTGCCTGGTTGTTTGATAACCCTGCCTGATTAAAGATTTACTTTGATAAACCTCCAATGTTGTAAGATTTACCTTGATAACCCTTCCAGGTTGTAAGATTTACCTTGATAACCTTGCCAGGTTGTAAGATTTACCTTGATAGCCTTGCCAGGTTGTAAGATTTACCTTGATAACCCTGCCTGGTTGTAAGATTTACCTTGATAACCATGCCTGGTTGTAAGATTTACCTTGATAACCATGCCTGGTTGTAAGATTTACCTTGATAACCATACCTGGTTGTAAGATTTACCTTGATAACACTGCCTGGTTGTAAGATTTACATTGATAACCATACCTGGTTGTAAGATTTACCTTGATAACCCTGCCAGGTTGTAGGATTTACTTTGATAACCCTGCCTGGTTGTAAGATTAACCTGGATAACCCTGCCAGGTTGTAAGATTTACCTGGATAACCCTGCCAGGTTGAAGATTTACCTTGATAACCCTGCCTGGTTGTAAGAAGGGCAGTAAGTACTGTGGTTTCTGTATATACAGTAGAAGCTCCTTGCCGAGGTTGTCCAACTGTTGTCTTATTTTAAAGTAGGGTCCGACCTGGTCCTCATTTGGAACCTCTACGTTAGCATAGTCCTCCTCCAACTTCTTTAATTCTGACAAAATAAACGATTTGTCTCAATATAGTACCCCATACTAAAAACAAAGTCTAGACAGAAATTGTAGTGACGATTTGACAGAATATTAAAGTACATTGTCATTGCTTAAGCTATACGTTTTCCCCTAAGAAATAATAGAACTTGAGCAAAAATAAAGATGAAGGTAATTCTGCTGATTTCCAAAATAAAGTCAGAAGTCTCCTTACAAAATAGGAAGAATTGGCAAGTGTGCATAGTAGTACCACAGAAATACACTTCAGGATTATATTCAATATGGCAACTCTTAAGGGACCAAATATTTACAAGAGGTGGTTGCTAGATCTATACTTACTTTCACATAGATCGGGAATAGCTGCGTAGTTCTGGAATTGATAGAAGGATCGCTCCAGCATGTACTCCGGATTGATCTCCTCCACTCGCAGCAGGTTCAGCACCATGTTGTAGGTCAAGTGGAAGGCAGAGTTCAGGGGGTCAGCCAGGCCCTTTATACACATATAAATAATAATGTAACAGTGACAGCCAGGCCCTTTATACACATATAAATAATAATGTAACAGTGACAGCCAGGCCTTGTAAAAACATACAGTATTAAACGAAACTGACGCGTCATGTACATTCATTATTAAAATAATATCTTCTGGACCTCGTCAGCTACAATTCTGATATGGGGCTGGTTGAGCCAAGTGGCATACAAATTCAACTAACCCAGTGGGCCCCTCTTCCTGCTAAACCCTAAGTATAACCCCTCCTGGGCAGCAAACAGGCAAGCGAGTGAACAGTTACCTTAACAATAGTTTTCCCTGCTTGAGGACTCATCTTTTCGTCAACCATCAGAATGACAATTCCACGGTCATCAATGCCTCTTCGTCCAGCACGACCACTCATCTGGATGTACTCTCCCGAAGTTACCTACCACAGAAAGTTACTTATTACTTTTGCACTGTTTTACACAATCTTTTCCTTCCTGTCAGAAATAAAAGTGTTGATGTTTCTTTCAAATCATATGAATCAACAGTTAAAGCCATGTATTATGTAACTGTCCCTCATTTTCAATAAGGAGGCTCCAACAGTATCAAGCATGAGAATATTTTAGATCTTTATGTTCCTGTTAATTATGTTTTATTGTTTATAGTATATCTACTCAACAACTGATCAGCATGATACACACCCATCGGAAATCTTTCCCATCAAATTTCCTTGCACTAGTGAACAGTACCGTCCTGGCTGGCATGTTGAGCCCCATAGCAAACGTCTCTGTAGCAAAGAGTGCCTGAAATAGTAAGATAACTATTTTATTGAACACATTTTGTTTATTACATTGCCACAGCTCATAGACTTTTATCTTGTAGCTGTTATGAGATTTTGATTTAACTCGGCAACTTACCGAAGGTCTCTCTTACTATTTTTTTCATTTTTATTTAGTTCACATAAAATCATAACACAAATCAAGAAGTAGATAAGCAATAATTTTACCAAAACCTGCTGCAAAATTAACAATATCTATACAACTATTTTAGACCCTGTTTAGAATTCCGACAACTTTTCTCCAGATACCAGAGATGGAATCTGTACCTTCAAATCTTGTACTCATACCAGTCCTTTCAATATTTCACATCCCAAAAACCTGCATGATACCCCCGCCCCTGTATCAAAACAGATCCAGTATTATACCCCTTTCATAACATTTCTAATTTCTTCCATTAACATATATACTAAAAAAATAATTTCCTGTAACAAAAACGAAACATGCCACAACACACATAGACAACCGGTACCTTAATGAGTCCTTCTGAGAAGAGGATCTCTATGGTTTCCTTGAGCAGGGGCAGTAGACCAGAGTGATGGATGCCCACACCTTTCCTCAGTAGTGGCAGCACATGTTCCACCTAAAAGTGACAAAGGGGAGAAAACTCATGAATGAAACCATAAAAACACAAATCAACAATGATGTCATATTTAATCTCTTATATTTTACATTTTCATGATTTATTGATTTAAATTTTTCATTTCACTAGTATTAAATGACCTTTTAACTCGGGCATTCAAAAATTATCCACTAAAACAATTTTAATGAACCAATTTACAGTCAATATTCAAAGCAATTTTAATCAGCTATGAAAATAGTCAACAACGTACCTGTGGTAATTTTTTGTCATCGTCAGACAAGTTGTCTATCGCATTGTTGAAGACCTCTTCTACTAACGTTTTTTCTTCCTCTGAAACATCATCAAGATATTTAATCACCATGTAAACAGTTTTTTCACAATTAAAGTTGAACAACAGATGTATAAAAAGAAATTTAATTCCCTAAAGTGTAACAGCCAGTCAGGATTCTTTTTATTCAATTTTAAACATAAAATAGCAAAAGAAATTACCACTTACCAACAATATATGTAACACTTGTTAGATTTAATATTAGCATTAACATCAAACAAATGATATATGAAGAGTTCTTCAACTCAATACATTTTTTAATCAATTGATACTCCTTCTATAACTTAGGAAGGATAGTTTAATAATCCTCCTTTAAGTTTCCTTCCACCTAACAACATATGTATAATTCTGTTTTAACACACAGAGCTTACCTGTATTGAAGTCTAGCTTTGCCATCTGCATGGCATAGGCCTCACAATCTTTTTTACTGAAACTAAACACAATCACAGGGGCAAAGCTCCTCTCCATTATCATCTTCACAATCTTAAAGCAGTTTGATTCGTTGCCTGAAAATAAAGATATTTGTATCTTATGAAATATTGAAGTTATAAAGTTATAATTTCTAATAATACCAAAGGAGAAGCAATTCAATAATTTGCCCCACTTTCCTCTTAATGGGCCCATCCCCTCTACCTCCATACCCTTTATTTATATACAACATTCAAACTTCTTAGCTTTACAATGATTCACACCAAATTTGGTGAAAATCTCTTCAGACATACACATGGAAAAACTTTTCGAAATCTATTTCACTTTTACAACACAGAATCCCCTTGCTTAAAGGATGCACCAAGTTTAATATCTTTGAAATGTCTTTGATTATCTGCTTGATTAATGTATAAAAGTGATTGTAAGCCTTTGTTTTTGTTTCACAATTATAACTAATACTATTATCCATATGTTGTAAAGCCCTTTAGAGTAATTTTACAAATTATATAGGGCGCTATATAAATGTTGTATAATATTACTTTTATTTTCCAGCCTTTTTCGACCACATGTTGTTTTAGACTTTAAAATAAAAAGTTGTTGACTAATGTCGCATTAATACAGGCACTATACCATACCACAATAATTAGCTCACTAGATCTTTAGGACTAGGTTTATAAAATATAAATAATCTGCATTGTAATCGGAAAATAATTTTTGAAGGATTTATAGGGTTTCATATTTTTAAAACTTCTATCATATGATTCATCATAATCAGCATATTTCCCAAAGACCACAATTCTCATTTCGCTGTACACACCTTTTGCTCCACCTCGTCGTCCCCATTTATCCCCCTTGGACGCATCACCTGAGTCACGTAACACAGACATGGCTGTGTTAAAGTTCTCTTCTCGAAATTCACCCTACAAACAAATAGTTCACAGAGGTTTTATGATATACAAGTATACAATGACTAAATGCATTGCGTTATTACTTTTTGGTGTGATATTTATTTCAAGTTATTGTTTAAGTTAGGTTTTTAGTTAAAGTTAACATCCATAGTTCTGCAGTATGTATAACAGACTCACACAAGTATTACAAAAACATAAGTCTCGAGTCTGATCCTATACAGCTTCGACTATACCACAATTTTGAGAATAACATAAAGTTATTTCCATTGCATACTTACATTTTCATCCACAACAAGATGTATGCCGTCACCTCCAGATGGAAAAATGTAGTGTTGTAGTGGGGTAGGTCTGTATTCTGTATACACCACATGACAGGGCTGTAATGAGACAAAATGGCAAGCTCAGACATTGGATTATACTTCATACTTCAGATACTTTCTTGGCTTTGGTTTCATTTATCTAAGATACGTGAATTCTAAACACAAGCTAACACTCTTTAGAAAAAAAAATTGTAATGAAAGAGAAAAATATTCAATGTGATTCCTCCAAATGTGCTCAGTATAGTCTAACAAGAGGCCAAAGGGCCTTAATACTCACAAGAGTTCAAAAAAGTTGAGAACTGAATTAAATTTCATATAATGTATTACTATTATATACATCTCCACATCTCGAATGGCACACCATTGAGTATAAAGCACAAGATTTGTAATTATCTAATATACACAGAGTCATTCGATGCAGTCATTCCTGAGAGAAGAAGTCCAAAAATGTCTCGGCCAATCAGAGGCCAGGATGTCCAACTTGAATTTTTTTATCGGCACCGAAAGTAAGAACACTTGTTCTGGACCTCATATGAAACAATTGTACCAAGTTTGGAGTCAATAGCTTGAAACATTCTTAAGGAGAAGTCGAAAATGTCTCGGGAAGTGAAAAAATTGCTGCGTCGTTTGCTTCGGCAATTTGTTTGTGTATTCTTCTGAGTCGTCAAAGCACTTTACCATCCAGGCAAGTGGGCCCTAACAATTTACATATTAAAGCGTTTTGATGAGCGAGACTACCTGCTGAGAAAATTGGGCAAACCCCACAACTTTCATATTTGACTTCGATTAGTTTCTCTTCTTTTGTAAATAACATTTTGTAGAGGTGGAACATAAGAATATTTTGAGAATATTTGGAATGCGAGACACACAAATTTCGACGTGTGCATGTCACCTAAGGTAGTCAAATTTGTACGGGATTTATTTAGAACATGCATGAATGACGCACATTTCAGCGTGAATGGGAACACTGATGTTCAATTGTTAGTGCACGACGAAGAACGAAGACAGAGGGCAATAGCTCAAATGAGCAATCATGCGAGCTCTAAAAAACATGGTCTAATGGGTATACAGACAGGTTCCTACAGTTGTTAAGAGATAGGTTGACAATGGATGGATACCAGATACAGCTCCATCACCAAAGTGCCTATGACAAGTGAGCCAAAAACATTATATCTACTGTCTGGTGCCCGCTGATGGCTTATGACATACCAGTAGTATGTCAGAGTGGGCAAAGTTACCTGTTTGTGCAGATGACAGATCCACTCAGCAAACTGGCGAGCGTTAGGGATAGTAGCTGACAGGAACACATAATGGACGTTATCAGGAAGTAGGATGATCGTCTCCTCCCAGACCACACCCCTCTCTGGTAAAACATCAGGGAATACCAGGTATATCAAATATAATACAGTGTCAGTACTATAAATCTACACAAAATGTTATTGTTTGTACTTACTGGTATACCAGTAAATGTTAGGAACAAAGAAGGGAATGGGGATGAATGGCATTTCACCCCAAATAAGTGCAAGTGAAATTGTTCACTCCCAGTATCTCCACAATACTATATTCAAAAAAATAATATACATTGGAATTCTTAGAAATTTGAAAATAATTGCTCCAGTCTTTTTACTACCTCAGTCCTTTCCAATGTAACCATCCTCACAATTAAAATCTGTATTCAGTTGCTTTCACTTATATCTATCATTGTTATCTTTCACTTACATTTATCATTGTTATCTTTCACTTATATTTATCATTGTTATATTTATATATGTAGGATTTACAACACAGCATCAGAGAAGGGTATTTATCACAACTTACCTTTATCACGCATATAATGAATTTCATCAAATACGACCCAGCCAACTTCCCTCATGATCTCTGAACCTCTGTACAACATACTCCGTAGAATCTGTAGAGTAACCAGGCAGGAATCAACATAAGTACACAATGACACACACTCAAGTCACAGCACATCTTTAATAAATCTCAAGAAATATTAAATAAGAGGTCTACGGTGTCTGTATTGTTTATCCATTTTTAAATAATAATGAAATAGATATATTTTAAGCTGAAACACTAATATCAGCAAATTATCAGATTATACTAGTTATACTTTAACTTTACATTCTTTTGAACAATAAACGTGTCATTCATTTGAACCATAAACTTGTCTTTAATAGAAGTTTGTCGAAATCACATTTGATTCATGTAACAAGGAATGTGAGTCAAGGTAATTTATTTGGAGTATTTTTTCACTTTCTACAAGCCAAATTATTTAACATGTTTAAGTCTGACCCATATGGCCTTGAATGTATGTCAATTTTATAGCAAGAAAACAACTAGACACAGACTACGGATACCACACCTTGGCATAAGCTAATAGGCACTTTGTGTACCAGGAGAGGGAAATGTTTGAGAAAGATGACATTTCCCTGAACTTGTATCCCACAGTTCCTTGTGTGAGGATACCTGTTGTCACGACAAGACATTTCGATGATGGGCTGATTGTGACATAGTTTTACCTCTGTTGTCATGACGAGACAGCTAGCAGTGGGATTAATTGTGACATCACCAGTCATGAGCCCCACATCCTGAAACTCCTCAAACAGCTCCCGGTATTTCTGGTTACTGAGGGCCTTGATGGGAGTGGTGTAGATCACACGTTGTTTGTCCCGCAGTGACATGGCTATGGCGTACCTAAAACATTATGTAACATCGTATTTTAAAGTCAGTCATATTTTTTTCTTTCTTTTTAATTTTATTATCCTTTTAGAAATACATCTGGGAAACATATCTTGTAAGGCTAGGTCCATATATATATAAATTTTAAAATAAATGAATAAATTGAATAAATTTTAATGTGAATGAAAAGACATGGCAACTTAATTGGAGTTCAAGAACAAGTACAGAGCTTAAAGATACATAAACTTGTAAAGCACAAATCATAGATATTAGAACCTAGTTAACAGGAAGTCCTAACTTAGACAACTTTGTCCGAACTCTTTATCCTCTTGAATGTTTTCCTTATGAACTCAGTCTTGAAAGTTGTTTAAATTGGTGATACAACACATTGTACTTGGACCATATTTTTCTGGACCAGAAAGATAGCAAATTTTACTGTTTGCCTATTTAATACATTAATTAAACAAAACATGAATATTGCAAAGAATTTAATCAATATTGCATAAAATATATGCCCTTTTATTACAAAACTTATTCAGGGAGTGCTCACAAGATAATTCCAGGTCAATTTTTTTCAAGTGGAGTACTCACACAGCGACAACAGTCTTGCCAGCAGACGTATGTGCAGACACCAGCACTGATTGGTTGTTTTCCAGGCATAGCAGAGCCTCCTTTTGGAACGGATCCAAGATAAAAGGATACTCCTTGGCAGGTTTGGCTGATACAGCCTTCAGGGGAGCAAACTCCGCTTCTGGTGGTATGGCAACCTAACAACAGAATTAAAACCTTAAACAGATATTTACTTATAGATCTACATTTATAGAGTATACATTGAAACAATGTTTGTATTAAAAAAATGGACCAGCAACCATCCATCAGCGAAGGTCACATACGGTACTTGGACAAAGGGTTTCTTTTATTTTCTTACAAAGCAAATGTAAATAGTGATCTGATTTTCCTGTATTGTGACACTTCTATTTACAATATTTTCTGTGCATTACACATTTGGTCACTTTTACGATAACATTTTAACAAGGACAAAACTGACCAATAGTCAGTTGACGTCTCAAACCAACGAGTTTGACCTCACCTCATGTTGACAGGCTTCCACAGTGTCTACTTTATGGACTTGAATCCTGGGCATAACATCTGTCTGCCTGTAATATACAAAGATTTACAACATGATTGTCAATTTGAAAAGGAGAATCATCTATTTGATGGTATCACTTTCTTGGTTTGGTTGTATTTATCTTTGATCGTGTTAGGTCAGTTTCAAAAATCTAAGGAACACATTACAGCGACACCTGTCTAATCTAACATCCATGTAAGACAAATGCTAGTCGTTTCGGTAACAAGTCGTTTGGGGGGTCCCGAAGTTGTTTCGCGAGTCCCAAAGTCGTTTTGGGACATGACACAAGATGTTTCGGGACTTAATCAAGTCGTTTCGGGACATCTACAATTTTCATTTATAAATTACATTTCGCTTCCATTTCATAAAAAGTCCTGTAAATACACAAGTATGGTTTCAGACTATGACCTGTGTCACAACTTACCCATGCTTAGGGTCATTAATGTTAACAGATTGCTAGTGCTTGAGGGGATACCTACATGTACCAACATTTACCCGATTGACAGTGTGTTGTTACCTGGTGAAACTAATCTCATTATTAAATACAGATCTAGAGGAACTTATGAAATTCAACATTCAATTTCTTTCGTTATTAATAGGTTGATATTTGATATTGTAATACGTGTTATATGTTTTCAATTCACTATATTCTCCATTATTGACATTAAGAGACGAATAAGTTAACATTGTGTCTAAAATTGTTTTAAGCATTTTATTATTGCTATATTGAAATCAAATTTCACGAAAGTAAAAACATGAAACACGTAGAATATATTTTAGACATGTGCATCAATTCATTAAATCCAGCAATATATTTTGAACGATGTTTTTATGTTGTGTATATGTGTCTGTGTGAATATTATATATATTTATTCATGTTTTATAAAAATCATATAATGGTAAATGTATATATTGTATGACGGAAAAATGCTATGATAAGTTGTAATAACTTTTATCCAATCGATTGTTTAAACTTAAAAAAATAATAATCCCAAAACGACTTTTGACATGTCCCAAACGACCCAAGAAAAGTCCTGAAACGACTTGTTACCGAAACAACCTGACACCTGTAAGACAACATATTATATCAACTTGTCTCCTCGGACGCTGTGTGACAGTATATTAGAAATTCCAACCCTGTGGGACAAAGCATATTGAAGATTAACCAGTCTACTCCGACACTCTGGGAGACGGTAAATAAATGAAATAGTGAATGAACTTATAACAAGGGTGTTATTTATTGCACCGTTTTGCTATGCATGTATTAAAAAGTTTTGTTTTTAATCAAAGATTTGAACAAAAAAATGTATAACTTCAAATTATTACTAATTTAAAAATAAATTGTGTATCTGAGATATATCTGCATTCATAATAACAAAGTTTGACTGTAGTATGGTAGCATTCAGTCTGTTAAATTTACCAAGTACATGAACTGATGTTGTCAAATGACCGGCATTACAATCATGATGTGATATTTACCCCAAGTCTTGTGGAATGGCCTTGGCTTTCTTTGTCGGATTGTCTTCATTATCGTCGTTGTTTTCTGCCGATCTTTTACCCACAATGCTCTTTAGTAGATCATCAGTTCTATAAAAGGGATACAAAGTCATGTTTCTTTCATTACATATTTGTCTTTTGCATGATAGTAAGAGAGATCTATGTATAATTGAACAGATTATATCAATGTTGAGATCTTCAGTGTTCATGAACAAATTTGAATATTTCCGTCAATAAAAACATCCTGGCAGAGGCAAATTCAGAACAATGCTAGAAACAGTCTATATCGTCATTCTGATGGAGACAATAAGAGATATGTTATGATAACACTAAGTCATTGAGACAGGAAACTCATACATTTGACTAAAATCATATCTGAGAAGTACTAACTACTATGCTGGAAAGAACCCCAAGATACTTAGAGGGTTTAATCCCTAAAGAGGCCCTGCTTAGGGACTATGGTGGGTTGGAGATAATTCCTAATGGAATTAATTTTCAGTCATCTGTTCAGAGTTTAAGTATAACAAGAAACATCCAGACCACCATTTGACAAAATGGTGAGTGTCAAGTTTATCAACCAATATAATTAGTTGAGTCTTGACAAGAGTCAATGTATCTAAACCTACTCTTCATGAGTATGTGTCACAGCAAAAGTTGTTATAAAACAGTTACAACCTAAATTCCACTGTGAAGGCATTTTTACTTTGATTACTTGTATTGCAGTAGGAAGATACTAGTGTGCTCCAAACAAACACCCCCTAGCTTTCCTGTCTGCTGCTTTTCCACCTGACTTGTAAAGTTTCCACTACACTGAAGCTAGAATGTGACCATCATCTTATTTACAATAAAAACCTGCTGCACTACTCCCCTTATTTTAAATGCATTGTGTCCTCAAACACCAAAACCTAGATTCTAGCTCTCAACACAAGGACAGCCATCAAATCATTTGAGACAGGAAGGGAGTTATATGCTTTCACTGCATATCGAACCCTAGCAACCCCCAGCTTACCAGTTTACCACTCTACCAATCGAGTTAAAAGGAAATTCTCTCTAATGCAAAGTTATGAAAGCAACTGTATTACTGGCCTATGTGTAGTAGAACTGGACTTTTGTTGGTTTGTTTGTTTGTTTGATTTTGTTTAAGTCCTATTAACAGCTAAGGTCATTTAAGGACGGCCTCCCCTGTGTGCAGGATGCATGCGTGTAGTGAATGTGTGTGTATTTTGGGAGGCTGCGATATGTTCGTGTTTGTCTCCTTGTGATAGCGCGTAACTGATGCCTATATAGTGCTATAGTGCTACCTCACTGAAACATACTGCCGAAGACACCCAGCAGGACGCCCCACCCGGTCACATTATACTGAAAACGGGTGAACCAGTTGTCCCACTCCTAATTTGCTGAGCGTTAAGCAGGAGTAGAAACTACCATTTTTAAAGACTTGGGTATGTCTCGGCCAGGGGACAGAACCCAAAGCCTTCCTCACATGGGCGAACGCTCAACAAATGGCCCAAAGTGAGGCATTGTCAAGGGAGACATTAGGAAGAGGAAAGTTATTTAGAAAGGAGAGAAGAGATAAGGTCCCAAATTTAGTCGCCTCTTACGATCATGCAATTGGGGGCAGGAAAACTGGACTTGGGTCTATCGATGGCAACCAGGTACCCAGCTCAATTGGTAGATAATCTGTCTAAGAGTTCAGGGGGTCCATGGATTGAATCCCTTTCTGGCTGTGCATTTTTCTCTTCTCCAGTTATAGTGTTGCCTGTGACCAACCCTTGTTTCAAGTACCAATACTAATGGGTGAATGCTTGGCAAGGGTATATCCTCGTGTCATGTGTTATTGCACCCTTAAGAAGCAACATTGACTTCATACTCATATCAACAGAAAACAGTTGAAATTACTGAGGACTGTGAAAAACATAAAACATGTGTACAATCAAATAATGGAAGCAAAATGACCAATTAAAACCTTCTTTTTTTTTAAATACCAACAAACATTTGTCAACAAATTTCACCTGCCAGAAGTAGCCATCGATCAGGTTTCCGTGCCTTGAATTTGATTCAGAGTTCAAAGAAAAACAACACCAATACAATAGAAAGAAATTCTCCATGGTGGCTAGCACGAAAAATGCTTTTCTTGTTATTTCGAGACAAGTTGTCAATACAACAAGTTGTTATTGGTTGAATCTAAGCAGGGCACCGGATGTTTTAAAAATTGTACGTTGTTCTGATGACATGTAAACACTGGATTAAACTTGCTGACATCCCATGGTCATCTCTTCTCATTATTGATAAAATACTTCTATGGCCGGACTTGTGAATCCTATTTTAAAGAATCCATCAACTGGGATATGCTGAATTTCACTGATCTTTATGGAAACTACTGTTGACTGGACGTTGGATCTCCACCCCACTGTATTCAGTATCATATAAGAATGTTGCCTTCGCACCTTGTCAGTGGCGATAAGGTGTGACTTCATTTGCATACGATACTAAAACTTGTGTTGCATGATTTGGGGCAACATCCTAACTTAGATAGGGCAACATCTTAGATGCAGGTTGGATTTGCAGACAAGTGGGATCATGACTAAAGCAGATCCTAGGCTAAAAGGGAGCAGTGTCCTATGAACAGCCAGCATGACATTTGAGTGTACCTAAAAACCTTGTCGGGTTAACTTGCTCTCGTACATTCAATAGACTTCATAAAAGACTGGGTCAGGAATGAAATATATCAGTTTTTTTAGAGATAGGTTCTTTTTGAGTACGATAAAAAGTGAATAAAGCAAAATTGCACATCTATTTATGATTCTATATGAGTTTTTATAATTCAAAAGATTTCCTGTCAAACTTCTGGTAATTACTAATTTTCATGTTAGTTCACAGACAATGACCAAATGTCTAAAATATCCTTGTGTAGTATCAAGCAGGTAATGTAGGTACGACGTACAGCTTGATAAAATGGCAGTGCGGATATACCAGACGATAACCAAACCTGGGATGATGGTTGGATTTGGACAGTGGTAATTATAATCTGCCACAGAATTAACATATTTGAAATCAACATGCTGCTTTTAACTATGCCGTATGCTTGGAATAATCCCTCAAAAGGAACTCTCCCTCTTTTGAGGGAATATTGGGCCTGAATGGACAAAAATTACCATGCCCAGGTAGAGCCAATCTTGAAAGAAAACATAACAGTATTAACACCGTCTTGTCAGTTATGGTGATTTTTGGAAACATTTAGAACAATTATTAACATAATGTTCATAAATATTATATCTGTATTAATATCTTAACCGTTTTATCCATATACAGATGAGGCAATTACAAAATGTATGGCTGTGGTTTCACTTTTTGTTGAACTGACGCTGTTATTTCTTTGAAAATTTCAAACGAATAAGAAGGAAACTGAGGTCAGAATATTATCATTACCTCTGAGCGTCGGTCGTATTTGAATCTGTGGTTTCTTTGACAGGCTCTTTAGTGTCACTGTCAGGCGCGGCTACCTCTGTTTTCTCTTCAAACACATTGAAAAGATCATCACCAAAGGCGTCTGCCATGATGTTGACCCATGTGTTTGAAGTTCGGCAGTAAATATGGATTTTAAAATATATAATTTTTAAATAAATCATAATAGGTATATAACACGACTTGATGTAATGTTAAATAATTATTTGAAGACGATCAAGGGTAAAATGTATTTCTTAAAATGTATTTACTGTTTTACTGTGATAACCTCAAAAGTTTTTTAAACGAAATTTATTACCAGAATTATTATTTTCAGTTAGATATTCCTTTATATCGTAATTTTGGTATTTAATTGACATAATGGTTTCAAAATACATAGTTTATTTCATTTATTTAATTTAAAATACAAATTTTTGAAATGATGCACGCGACATCACGAGTGACGACAACACCATGGCGGACAAGATGAATTTGCTTGCGTGGATGCTGTTCACATGCCACATTTCCTTGGTGTTTTCAAACGAACTTGCCAGAGGTATGAGCCAATTTATTTTTTTGTTATACTTGCGTTAATGCTTGTCTTCGATATTGTAAATGTGTAGTCCATTGATTTTGTAAAAAGTGATAACCGGAGTGATACCCCACAGGCACAGATCAGTGCCGCTGGTCAAACAGCCTCATTTGTCGATGCCGGTCATTATACATACAACTTGGCTGTTTTCGCGGCCGTTTGAAAGTGGTTAGCACAGATAATGATCCGCGTTAAACGAAGATATTTTGCCTAGTTTTGGGAGGACGTCAAAATCAGCTAAAATTACGCCGGTTTGCCGGAGTTGTATAAAATAAATGTCGATTAACCAATAATTAAATAATTAACTGTTATAATGTAAGGGTTCTTGAAACCCAACATGTGTACTGTAAATTTAAAAAAAAAGAAGGAAAAAACATTCTCTAGATGTCGAATTGCACTGCTCTTTAATTGAAGGATAATGAAATTTGAAAGCGTCTTGCTATGTATATATTCGTATATATTTTTCTATGAGAGGCTGGAGAGGTACCGTACATTTAAAATATCTTCATATACTGCAATCATTAAGCCTTTTTTATTGTGTTCTTCAAAAAGAATGCTTCAATATTATAGAAATTGAAATATGAATGGAACAAGTGATGCACATGTACTCAAGTTCAAAAAAGCCAACTGAACCCATTGAAATTTGTATTTTCTTGCATTCCCGTCATGTGTTTTCTACCACTTCTATTTTATAAATTTACAAGGATAAACCTGCAGTATATAAATATGAGCATGGTCTCATCAAGGGCATAACTACTAAACCATACAACACTAAGTTGATGTTTCTCAATAAATCTATATTCAAGTATGTGTCAAACACATGTTGCCTCTTTTCTAGTAACAGATGTCTTATTCTTTGTTAATAAAAATACAGTATTTGCTTGGTGACATCTACAGCTTATTTTGAATACATATACTAGTATTATATACTAGTGTATTTTAATACATTTGCAAGATGAAGCAGATTTATATCATTATAAAATCATAAAAATATCAACTTTCATCATTTTTATTTGACGTCATACATGATGGAACAAGTTCACATTAACAAGAAACACCTGCACAGAGACAAATCAAGGAAACCTATTTCGACTTATCTGATAAATAAAGCTAGTATATCATGTTCGTAGATAAAATTCATATTGCAGTTATCTGTATTCCCTTAAAGGGGCTATTTAGGAAAGTCACAACCTGAAAATTGAGCCGATACTGAAAATATATCTCCTAACGAACGTTTTTGTAGTTGATAATGACCTGACCTGACACCAACGTCCAGTGTGGTCAGTTTCATCTTTTGAGAAAGCTGGTGATAAAATAGCTACCGACTGAAATAGCGCAATATCCCGGTCTTTCAGTGAGAAATAAACATGTACAGCACTACGCTGTCGAACGACAACACAGTGCCAGTTACGAGTCTGAGTTCACACATAACACATTCTTGAATTTACACATTACATCGCAAGTAAGAAATTCAAGTATTATAATATATACCTCTAATCAGATATTTCTGTTCATATTTGGATTTGAATAAAAAACAAACAGGATTAATTAGAACATGCACACTCTGAGAGGGTGTCGCATGGAGGATTTCAAACCGCAGAAAGTATCATAACAATAGATCACTCGATCATTTATAACGATGTTTGAGGTTAAGATGATGTTGGAAGATGATTTTGATTCAGAATAAATGCATGTACTTGTATTCCAGAGAGGCTAGGTGAATAAAGCGAGAAGTTACCTTCCCTCCTCGGCTGGAAAGGCATTTTTGTTAGCTAGAAATTCAGCTGCAGCTAAAACGTACGGCTGTATAGTTAAGGATTTAAAAATGCCAAGAAAACATTGTCTCTTGTCAATTTCTCGACATGAATTGTTTATAAGGAGTATCAAACTATATATAGAATCATGAAAAATTTTGTGACTACGTTATGTATATTTTTTTACTTCACATAATTGTCCCTATAACGTATCGGATGTATTAGAGGAGGGATGTTGTTTTGTCAATATTAACTGGTGTGTTGTTTACGAGTTTACCACTTCTTGTTTAGGGCAATATATTTTACTGTCCCATTAACATTCATACTTGTCATGGTGTTTATTTTGCAGGATGGGGAGATGGCATAGCCTGGGTGAAACTAGATGATGGACTGACTCAAGCAAAGACAGAGTAAGTGTTGGCGACTATAAAGCATCCAAATTAGGGTTGGTCCAGATGTAAAATATTGGATGGAAGGGACAATAGGGGATTAGAGAGCTTAGAATGTTAAATTGATAATGAGTAGATATGAAGACAGTATCAGAAAACTGCAGATTAAGCCATTCAGCTTTATTCCAAATGATAAAAACCAACTCAGAGAACTTGTTTACGAAGGTGTGATCATTTAAGTATGTGGGAGGACGCACAAAGACTAACAAGCCAAAGAGATTTTTGATCAAACAACTACAGATCTAAAGCAGTTACGTGTAACATAGTTCAGTTGTATATATAGGTGTGATTAAAAAATCCTTAGGCAGCTATAAGGGCAATGTTAGTTTGTAGTCCCTGCAGATTTTATAGCAACTTATGAGGTGACAAATGTGAGGGGTTCCTTTTTACTAAGTTCAAGCTAAATAATATTGTTAGAGCTATTTATTTTTTTGATCAGCTCATCAACATTGCAGACTGATAACACATTTGTTAAATCATGGTTTGCTTGAATTTCTAAGAATTTTTTCAGTATACCTGGTAAATATCATTGTTATGTCATATACTTATACATTTTTCTCTCTCGTTATTTTACAGAAACAAACCTATGATGCTGATCATACACAAAAGCTGGTGTGGAGCTTGCAAATGTAAGAAGATTGTATCAATGATAAAGAGTTTAGCCTCATTAATCCAGCTATCAATAGTCCAGGTGTCACACTATCCAGCCAGTGTTTGAGGCAACAGCATACGCTTTTTCTGTAAAAAAAATTCTCAGTAATCATGCTGCGAACAAAGATCACTGGATTATTGTGGCTTCACTGTGTCTCAAGTTATACCAAGTCATCAGAGAACTCGATTCTTGACAAGTGATCACAGTTTTCATAATCTATATTATATTTATGCTTATTGAGTTAATCCTGTCTGTTTACTTTATTTTGGCACCAGACTGTGCTTGACCCCACAACGACCTTTCTAGATCACTGCAATGCTCTGTTACAGTGACATCAATATTTGGTTTAAATAATCATCTGAAATAGAACCGGGCTATTTTCCCTGAGTGAAATGAGAATTTTAAGTGCAGACTAGACACGGCAGAATCAATCACCTTTGTCTAGAGTAATTTCTTCAGGTAAAGGTCATTTAGATCATACAGTGAAAATGTCAGGAAGTGACAACCTTTTTTATTATCCCCATCTCATTAATTGGATATTATATTATCAAGTTGCTTCAGATTTATTAACATATTTGTGATAACAGTTAATAGGAGAAATTTTGTAAATACCTTTTCGTGAACAAACTAATGTAAACGTAATGTTTCCATTTCTGTTGTAGCCTTAAAACCAAAAGTTGAAGAATCGACAGCTATTAAGGAGCTTAGTAAAGAGTTTGTTATGGTCAATACTGAGGTGAGTAGTTTTTTCTGTTTCATGACATGCATTCATATGTATGGTTTTAGCAAGTTAATAACCTTTTTGTAAAAAAAAAAAGATATTTTCTTTTTTCTTATCTTTTCCGATTCAAACTTACCTGTATATGATTACAGTTCAGTAAAACCAAAAATAACTAATGGTAGACCTTTAGAATATTATTTTCTATATATTTGTTTGTTTTGAGACCAACAGAGTATTAGAACACCTGTTGATATGATCAATTATCTAACTATAGGATGATGAGGAACCGAGTGACTCTAAATTTACACCTGATGGGGGATACATTCCAAGAATCTTTTTCTTAGGTAAGTCTTAAACGGTCATGATCAGTGTTTACACAGATATGAAATTGTATGAAATATCTTTAAACAGATTTATCTCCCTTGTTCCACTCGTTAAATGGCGCAATGATGCAGAGATTTGTGACTAAGAATAAAAATTAAATATCTTTTAACAATGTGCATATAAGTTATGCATACACTTTGTACTCAGGAATGAGTACAGGAAATGAAGGTGACACAGTTAGTTTTGGTGTCTGTGATGTATATGTAATGAACAGTATATTAAATTAGCCTACTAGGCTATGGTAGGTGTTGTCAGGCAGTGGCAGATCATTGGCATTTTGACTTGTTTTCTTAAAAATATAGATAAATATATAGACAGTTGGCTTACATTTAAATACTATCTAATTTCTGACATTGTGTTTCAGATAACAATGGGGAGGTATTAAATGACCATTACAATAAGGATGGTAATAGCCAGTATAAGTATTACTACTACAGTCCTGACCACAGTAAGTATATATATATAACAATACACTGAAATGCATCTTTAAATATGCCATATCAAAACTGACAGCACGCTGTTAGCTATTTGATTGGTTTCAGTAATGAAAAGCTGACCAATGTTTAGGCTGACACGTGTCCTTTGAAAATTATGAGGAGCAGGGGAAATCATGGAATTTGAGAGCAGTGGGCCATTTCAGCAATTTTTGGTCAATATCAAAATTAAGAGGGGTCATTCCATGTAAAATTCAAAAATTGGAACATGAAGGAGTCATGACCTCATGGCCCCCTCCAGGATTATCTCTTGTAGAGTGGCACCCAACTTCAGAGCTGGTCAATTTTACCACTATGCTGCTGCTAGATCCTTTTGATGTCAACAATAGACAAACTGGTCTACTTGTATCATCTTCAAAGTGTCGTGAACAGAGCCTCCATAGTTCATTTTTGTCATGATATATTCTCGATATATGTTTGAATGGTTGTAGGGAAGATCTGTGTATCAAAAGCAAAACGCTTGCAATTTGAACATGACTGAAATGTGATCTCTTACTAACCTATAATCAATGTATGTGTTTTTAGTGATGCATGTAAGTATGTCCAAATAGTGTTCCTGGTAATGTTTAACACTGGTTTTAAGATGAACACTGGTACTCAACATGGTTTTCTATATATGATAAACGCTGGTGCTCAATAAGGGTTTCTATGTATGATAAACGCTGGTGCTCAACTAGGGTTTCTTTTTATGATAAAAGCTGGTGCTCAATTAGGGTTTCTATATATGATAAACGCTGGTGCTCAATTAGAGTTTCTATATATGATAAACACTGGTGCTCAATTAGGGTTTCTATATATGATAAATGCTGGTGCTCAATAAGAGTTTCTATATATGATAAAAGCGGGTGCTCGATTAGAGTTTCTATAAATGATAAACGCTGGTGCTCAATTAGAGTTTCTATATATGATAAACGCTGGTGCTCAATTAGAGTTTCTATATATGATAAACGCTGGTGCTCAATTAGAGTTTCTAAATATGATAAACGTTGGTGCTCAACAAGTATTTCCATATATGATAAACGCTGGTGCTCAACTAGGGTTTCTTTATATGATAAACGCTGGTGCTCAATAAAGGTTTCTATATATGATAAACGCTTGTGCTCAATTAGAGTTTCTATATATGATAAACGCTGGTGCTCAACTAGGGTTTCTATATATGATAAACGCTGGTGCTCAACTAGGGTTTCTATATATGATAAACGCTGGTGCTCAATAAGGGTTTCTATATATGATAAACGCTTGTGCTCAATTAGAGTTTCTATATATGATAAACGCTGGTGCTCAATTAGGGTTTCTATATATGATAAACGCTGGTGCTCAATTAGGGTTTCTATATATGATAAACGCTGGTGCTCAATTAGGGTTTCTATATATGATAAACGCTGGTGCTCAATTAGGGTTTCTATATATGATAAACGCTGGTGCTCAATTAGGGTTTCTATATATGATAAACGCTGGTGCTCAATAAGGGTTTCTATATATGATAAACGCTGGTGCTCAATTAGGGTTTCTATATATGATAAACGCTGGTGCTCAATAAGGGTTTCTATATATGATAAACGCTGGTGCTCAATTAGGGTTTCTATATATGATAAACGCTGGTGCTCAATTAGGGTTTCTATATATGATAAACGCTGGTGCTCAATTAGGGTTTCTATATATGATAAACGCTGGTGCTCAATTAGGGTTTCTATATATGATAAACGCTGGTGCTCAATAAGGGTTTCTATATATGATAAACGCTGGTGCTCAATTAGGGTTTCTATATATGATAAACGCTGGTGCTCAATAAGGGTTTCTATATATGATAAACGCTTGTGCTCAATTAGAGTTTCTATATATGATAAACGCTGGTGCTCAATTAGGGTTTCTATATATGATAAACGCTGGTGCTCAACTAGGGTTTCTATATATGATAAACGCTGGTGCTCAATAAGGGTTTCTATATATGATAAACGCTGGTGCTCAATTAGGGTTTCTATATATGATAAACGCTGGTGCTCAATAAGGGTTTCTATATATGATAAACGCTGGTGCTCAATTAGGGTTTCTATATATGATAAACGCTGGTGCTCAATTAGGGTTTCTATATATGATAAACGCTGGTGCTCAATAAGGGTTTCTATATATGATAAACGCTGGTGCTCAATTAGGGTTTCTATATATGATAAACGCTGGTGCTCAATTAGGGTTTCTATATATGATAAACGCTGGTGCTCAATAAGGGTTTCTATATATGATAAACGCTGGTGCTCAATTAGGGTTTCTATATATGATAAACGCTGGTGCTCAACTAGGGTTTCTATATATGATAAACGCTGGTGCTCAATAAGGGTTTCTATATATGATAAACGCTGGTGCTCAATTAGGGTTTCTATATATGATAAACGCTGGTGCTCAACTAGGGTTTCTATATATGATAAACGCTGGTGCTCAATAAGGGTTTCTATATATGATAAACGCTGGTGCTCAATTAGGGTTTCTATATATGATAAACGCTGGTGCTCAACTAGGGTTTCTATATATGATAAACGCTGGTGCTCAATAAGGGTTTCTATATATGATAAACGCTGGTGCTCAATTAGGGTTTCTATATATGATAAACGCTGGTGCTCAACTAGGGTTTCTATATATGATAAACGCTGGTGCTCAATAAGGGTTTCTATATATGATAAACGCTGGTGCTCAATTAGGGTTTCTATATATGATAAACGCTGGTGCTCAACTAGGGTTTCTATATATGATAAACGCTGGTGCTCAATAAGGGTTTCTATATATGATAAACGCTGGTGCTCAACTAGGGTTTCTATATATGATAAACGCTGGTGCTCAACTAGGGTTTCTATATATGATAAACGCTGGTGCTCAATTAGGGTTTCTTATTAAATTGAACACTTACTCATTGCAGTAGTTTTGTTGAATGCTAACGCTTATAGTGAATGTTTCTTTTTCAGTTGTTAAAAGCATGAAGGCAGTGTTGGAAACATTAAAAGGTGATAATACAGCTACCAACGACGAGTTATGACGAGATGGAGTTTAGATGTATAATGTCTAGGACAACTTGAAGGTGTGAAAGGGACTGCTGTATCAACACTGCTATGGTGTCTTAGTCGTAAAATTGAGAAACATCTTGTGTACATGAATCGTGGTGATTTTGATATATGTATATATTTGAAATTGTGATAATTTGAATATAAGAGTTGTATTTTTTTGAACAAATGAATTGAAGCTCTTTGAAATTAATGAAATGTTTTTTTTATGAATTGAATTTTTAAAACATACAAATAGAAGCAGGACCTTCGTACTAACTATTCAAGACTATGTTCATGAATGACATCATCTAAGTTTCTTTCACTTTTCACAAGTTTATGATAAATTGTTTTACTTATTATTATTTAGGGCTAATGAAGTGTTAGATTTTGCTTGGGAAATCAGGTTTCATTGTTTACCAAGCTGTTAATTATTTTAAGTACAAATAACAATGTCCTTTATTTCTATGCATTTTACAATGCAAGATATATTTTTGCAATAATAATGCAAGTATTTATTTATCTTTAAGGCTGATGAAACAATTTATCTTTTGCTTCATGATGCTTTACTGATTTACTGTAATATAAAAGTTTGTGAGTCAATGACCACAGTTACATGTTCTGAAGTATTGGGGCTATTTCTGGGTCAACGACCACAGTAAAATGTACTCAAGTATTAGGGCTATTTCTGTCGGAGTCAACGACCACAGTACATTTGACGTCAAATTATGTTATAAGTAATAAGGTGCCCAATAGAACCAGGGCAATGTGTCGGTTTTTAATTTACTCTGATGCAGTAATACACAGACCAGCAAAAAACAAATCTCAATATTTACTGCATTTTCAGTGGGTAATGATAAATAGATGTATTCAAATTAACTGCATTTTAGATTATTTAAAGTGGCAATATTTTATGTGACTTGTTTTGAACTGTTTAATTGACCAAATTTGTACTATCATGGTTTTTGAACTGTGAATTGTTAATGGTTTCTAATTTCGTTAACTTTTTCTAGAATCCTAATGAGGACATTAAAATCATATTTGATATTTATTTAACAACGAATGTACATTGTATGCATGCTATGTCATTGTCAATCTCAGTGTAATTTTCAACTAACTGTTTGTCATGTGTGTTTGTCTAATTGTCTCCCCTGATCAAAGTGTCATATGTAACATATGCTGTAACATATTGTATAATCAATCGAGAACTTTCCGCACGTAAACGAGAAAATACCATCTGTTGTAAAATGTGTGGAGTTACTTCCCCTGAACAAAGTGACTATACTCAATGTGTCTCCCCAACTAAAATGACTGAATGCTTTACCATAGAGTAAATGTGCGTCCTTGCTTTAATTGTCCTTTCTTTGGTATCTTTAACTTAAATTGAAAAATAAATATTATTGAAATATTTTGCTTTAGTGATTTTTTATCATAAATCTTGTGACATGTGAGAAAAAAATGTATACCAGGGGCCTGTTCGTTTATAAATTTAACAATTTTGGGTATAATAGGTTTATGCAGGCGTTGCAAGGCTTTGTCAAGGCTCGCCTGAAAGCAGCATCAGATTACTAGGTCCCTGTGATCCGACTGGTTTAACCGTTTTAACGAAAATGGCCCAGGTAATTATAAATATTGCAATCTCTATGGACACTATGTATATTTGTGTGGTAGTGTCCAGTACCCCATTTTCAGGACTAGACAAATCTTATTTGACTTAACTTGGATAGTCATTATAAACTGTTTCCATAGGTGGTTGGTGTCAGGCCCAAGATAGAGATTCTGGCAGGCAGGACCTGTGTGTCACTTTTCTGGTAGCAATGGTGTCAAGTTTCTACAATTAGCTCTCAAACGGACTAGAGTTTCATCTTAGCTTCTTCATTCCAATCCATCAGATACTGAATGTAGCCTCCTTTATCTGGTCCTGTGACTCTTACATGATACTCATCAATCATTTTTTACGTTCAGCTTTGTGTAATATGTTGTAGGTCAATTAAGCCTGCACTTCCATACATCTTGGGCAGTACATCTTTATCAAAGTCCAAATTCATTTAGTCTGGCAATACTTCAGTTGATCGTGAAGTCTAAGGCCTTGTGTTTTACTCGATTCTCAAATCATAATTTGCTGCTGACCATCAAAGTTGGAACAGGTGAGATATAACTTGTTATATGCAATGTTGACTACATATATGAAACTTATTCACGGTCGCTTACTTCAACATGACACTTATTTGCAGCCATTGTTGCAGTAAACATGTGACTTACAAGGTTTAGTCTTAGAACAGTTATAAGTTTTATTCCTATTTTGTCTGAATTTTGAAGCTGGGGCCTAATTTATATATGAAAACCTAAATTCAATACACTTCATGTGTGACTATTTGTGTGGGTCATTTATTACAAAGGTTCTCATTAGAAACTATTTTTGTCACAAACACATTTCCTTATTGATCTTCCCAGTCCATATTTACTGCCACCCTCTCCCCCTGCCAGTTAGTTTTGTGTAAATGACTGATGTCAGTGAGGGGCATACAGGTATATAAAAGATGTCCTTGACATACAGGTATAAAAATATTTTTAAAAAGGCATGTATTGTACCTTAGTTCAATCACAAAACAACACACATAACATATCAGGTTACAACAATAGTTTAATTTGGACGGAATTTCAATACAGATATCACATTATACAAAAATGAACTAACTATTAATTTAAGTATATAGACCATCTTACACATTATACCTGTCATATGTAATAGCTCATTATGATGAAAGGGAATTTTAAGTGGCAATATCTCAGAAATTTACAATTCAGAACTGCTTCCTTTTTATCAATGAATCCATTATGGTTAATTCATAAATCAATAGCTTTAGCGTGGAAGTCTATTGTAACGGAGATTTGTTAACAGTAAGGTGGCATATACCCTTAAGGTGAGATAGCATCCCATGGGCACAGAACCATGTACGTAATGGAACACTACACAAACGTTTTCTTTGACAAAGCTGAAGGAACAATCGTTAATACCCATGCGGCCTGTAAAAAGTTTCTAACCTACAATTTCCAGGAGAAGCTGGAATGTGTTCTAATATATTTACTTAGTGATGTTACTATCTCGACTTATCGATACAGTTTATTGTATAGGAACGGAGCCGATAACTGCATTTGGACCAGATTTGTGGCGTTACAGCTACAATGGACTGGTATTTGTAGATTAATGATGGAGCTTTTCAATGAAACGTATATAAATCTGTTGTTTGATAAATAAAGTGATTTGCTTTTTCCTTTTTGTGGATTTGTTTGCCGTCCTTGCTCAATAAAAATTGAACCAGTTAGTTCTAAAATGTGCTGAACTTGTTTCCTCTGAACATCACTTAGGCTACAACTTTGTCTTTATATGCCTCAACAAAATTGAGCAAGACCTACGTCGAACATTCACGTGACTTTCAAGTCCCACTCGGCCAAACTTTTCAAACATATGGTCGATGAAAAACTGTCTCTGCTCAGTTGTAACATTTCTTAATTTTAGAGAGCATTATCTACTTGTTTGGAATATACTTGTGTTTGAACTTGACCTATGACCCGGTGTGACACAGCCATTTCCTCTTTCAGATACGTTTCTGTTCAAGTACGCTGACCATCGCACCATATATTTTAATATGTTGTAATACGTAAATAAAACAAAATCACTAATCAAAATAGGTTGCATACACAGTGGCCACGGCGTAGATCTGTCCCTTGGAGTAACTTGCTTGCGCGTAACTGTCTGTACTGTCGTCCCAGAGACAGCGACTGGCTACGCGCATGCCCTGCGCGGAGTTTTCACCAATTATGACGTTGCAGACAAGTTTGTAGCGCACATAACCAAGCTCCTTCACGCGATTCTTTATAACGTCTGTGAGGTTCTGAGCGAGATTTGAACACATTTTAGGGTCGTATTTCTCACCATCAAGGTAAGATTCCAGGACGTTATACATAATGGTATTTACTTTTGACGGGTCGAACTTCTCTTTGGGAAGAGGTTCGAGTCTGTATGTGTTCTGTAGTTTGATTGGTATTCCAATGTGTTTTGGCCCCACCGACCCAGAGATGCTTGTCCTTGAGACCTGGGACGGCCGCCTACCTGTGTAACCGTACTGTACGCTGAGTCTGTGATCAGGCCGGGAGAGCCGACGCAGGTTTGGCCCCGTTACATTGAGCCCCGTGCTGTCCGACCCATCTTTATTGAAGACGGACAGACGCCTGGTACGTGTGTTAGTCTCGTGGTGCTGTTCCAACGCCTCCACTGTCAGTTTGGACATGACTGTATATCTGTCCTCCGTCCGTTACGTATACCGCTGTCTGTAACGAGTCTGTCTTCCGTCTGTATCATATACCTCTACCTGTAATGAGAAAAAAATGTGTTAACCTTAGACCTTTTACATTCCCAGTCCCAGTTTATATTATATACCAGTTTTTGTTGTTTACTTGCACATTAATTTCTCTTGTTCCCCATCTGTAAACATATCCAAAAGTCTGCAAACGGTTTGGAGCAAATACTGTCCGATTCATTAGGATCTGTACAATCCGCGCAGCACGAAAACGATTTCTACACAAAATAAAATTGAGAAAAAGACAAATTAATCCGAACTCGCCATGTGCTGATGAAGCCATTTAAGTCATTGAATCGTTTGAAGGATCCCCGTACATACCACTGTCAATAACTGTAAACATGAATACCGTTATGACTGATAGTTTTAATAAATAAAGAAGCCCTTTCTTTTGGGACTTGTATGATAAGGCAATGACGATGAAAACAACAACAATAGCGTTCTCAGAATGAAAATGCAACTGGGCCAGACCTGGCTCCGGGATCATGGAGCAATAATAGTTTTTGCTAAGCCAATCACGTATGACGTCAATTTTTATGACGACACGTCATACCAGATTAAAACTTAAAACAATTTTAGACTTAGATCGTTTCGTGATTTCAGGGCCAGGAGTCGAACCCTGGACTTCTGATCACAATGCAGTTTCTCTAACCAACAAAGCTACCTGACAGGCATAGTTCCAACTAAAGGTAAATCTAAAGTGAAATTAAGGGGAGGTTACTTACGTATGAAATACTACAAACGTAGTTTGCCTGAAGTGGGACAGGGATCCTTAAAATAAATACAGTGTAAATCTCCATTAATCCCAGACACGGTACAGGTGATGTCATAATCCGGTCATAGTTTAACAATAGGAGTAAATACCGATGATTTATATACAGAAGGTAAACACATATATCATTCATTGTGTCAGTTACAAAATTTAACAATACCGAGTCATATTTACGCCAAAACACAATACACTGCTAATAATAGATATTGATCAGCCATATTTGTACCTGTTTAGTCAAAACAACAGTTGGACGGCTTTGTAAATTCGGCTATATTTGGACTTTATCCGATTAGTTACGGATCAAAGTTCCGACAACGGTTCCGGTATTTAGACAGACCATCAATACATCACATTGGCATCGATGGAATGTTGCCAACTTAAACATAAAATGGCGCCAACCTGATACATTTGTAGAAGTTGTGGTTCACATAAAAAAAATGTTACATGTTTGAACAAATGACAATGGCACATCCCATATTACAAGTAAGGCAAAAACTACAGAACACTATACGCTGTGCATATTCATTAATTGTATTCAACAGTTTCGCTCATATCATGTTCCAACTAAGCTTTATTTGTTTGAAAGGCTGTAATTTAATAATTACATTTGAACAAGTTTAATCGTTTAAGAGCCCATTGTTGGGGCAAAAGACATGACGGACGGACGGACAGCTATAATTCACGTTCTTGTGAGCATCCATAATTTAGTTGTACATGTAAAAAAGATATTTGAAAACAGCACGAAACTTTTAACAAATGATATGAAACAATTAACTAATGGAAACCGTTGCATAAAACTAATGCTTTCGATAAAACATTTCCAATCACATTCCACGGGTATACGATCCGGACCTGTCATGCACGCGAAGATCATAGGTATATGGACAGGACTGTCATCAAACTCCAATGACGATAAAATGCCACACAAACTAGGTTACTGCAATGATCAATTCATATTAAATTTCCTGTACATACTCAATTTCATGGTTACCTAGGTCGGTGTATAGAGCAATACAGACTGATGTTCTGGGTAGCTGGGCATCAAAAGGTGTAATATATATATACAGGTGAGTGTCCGTGTATTGTCATCACATTTAATGTTGTCAGATTCGTTTTCATTTCGTACCTGTGATATATCACTTGTGACAGATTTATTGGTTAAAAGTATGAGTCTACATAGGGACACATCGATTTACCCAATAGTCTGGTTTAATCTGGTCGACAGTTTAGAAGCGGCCGTACCAATAGTTTGGTACAACCGACCAATCCACTCAGACGAGAGACGTCCGTACCAATAGTTTGGTACAACCGATCTATCCACTCAGACGAGAGACGTTTGAACCAATAGTTGACCTGATCTCCCCTACACTGGTCACTTAATTAGGACACTGGGGTAGACATATCCCAACACAGGTTACTATAGACAGTAATAGTTGTCCGTAACGTGGTCTTACCAAGAACGAAAGTTTTTTCGTGTTATTACGTGTTTGTTTGCGTAATTTACGTGTTTTCTTTGCGTTATTACGACTTTCCAGTAAATTTATTTCTTATACACGTATATATGTGTTGTGGTACGAAAGATCTATCCACATAATGCCAATACACAACCTGTAAAGAATTTTGTATACATTTTACAATGTTTTCACATTTTGACGTCATCACTACATTTCTCTCTGCACGATAAACACACAAACAGTCTCATGTCTGCCACATTTTTGTCTTAAGTATATAAAATTATAGGAATCCAGGGCATGAAACCGGTATCGTGCTCAAGTGTGGATTCTGTGCTCAAACCGTCTTTCTTGCAGCTGGTTTAAACTTGTGTTACACGGTCAAAAAGTAAAGTGTAAACACCGAAAATGGTATTAAGCCCTAAGACTCTCCCAAATTCTTCCAGATCATTGAATATTTTTTTCCATACATTTTTCACTGTAATAAGAAATTGGGTTAGAGCATAAAATCTGACTTACGGGACCAGCTATATTCGTTTGTACAGCAAGCTTCCAACATAACAATCATTTGACCTCCCGTCAGGTTTACGACTCAACATCTATATGTGAAATATAGCCATTTTAGGCAGAACCCTATGCGTTCATACATCGAGGAATTATATATAAAGTGATATCCAGCAATAAGTAGTTTATGGGTGCTCTTACAAGTACAACTTTTAGTGGACAAATGGATGGACAGACGGATAATATGGACACGTTTTATCAGAGTAAGTAGACAAATAGATACCCCCTAAACATCTCTGACTACAGAAACAATATTTAAAATCATTTCAAAATTAAAAGAGAAGGAATGCTATAAATAACATTTTCGACAAATGAAGTATTGAGTATTGATAATGTTATACGGATAGCGTTTAGCAGGTCAAACGAGTGTTGCTGTCAGTCATGTAATTATATATACAGTACTACAACTTCGCGAGCCAAGGGTGAACACCCTTGGCTCGCGAAGTTGACAGTACTACAGCACTAGTAATTTCCGATTCCTTTGATGTGTTTTTTCCCTTTCATGTGGCATGTCTTACCTTTTCATTTCAATAAATCCAGTAACCTTGATCATTCCATTCATGAATTAATTGCGTGTCTGTTTGACCTCCAGCCATCTATACACGAGCGTTTACCTGTGATTGCACGAGCTCAATCAATATATAACATAAATCTATAATGATTTTTTTTCACAATTCAGAACGAAATACTCACGTTTTCCTTTCCCGAATTAAATATTTTCCCCTAAATGATTAATTGTGATCGGTGTATGTATAATAGATGTGGTTTCCCTATTCACATCCCAAAGATAAACAGCTGTCCCTCTCGGCACTCGCTCATCGATACAGATGTAATGTTCTCTAGGCTGGCTTCCAATGTTCGACGTCCTTAAAGGCGCACGCTCCTAAATAAGTCCTGAACGAAGGCTGTCTGCGGCGGAGCGTCACTGAAGTCTGACTGTGGGTTTGGGTTTGTTGACGAGTCGCACAAACATTCGGTATTTAAAGATAAGACAGTACCACCATGTGGAGTATCGAGAACATCTTCATTGTGTTTGGATTTAATCTGCACAACAATCAGCCTGGCAGGTCCCTGAGGGGTCATACCATTGTTTACCAGTAACACGGTCTCGCTTGTAAACAAGTCCATGTGTACTTTACAATTACCGCACGTAGTACAATGTCACAGATAGGTAGGTTTCCGTATTGTTTTCAAAACCAGAGATCGGCTTAGCTCGGCTAGTTGAATATCCGAAGGAAATACATGTACTTCAATCCGAAGTATGTGAAAAACGTACAAGACAAAGCTCGTCGTGACTTCCGTGCGACAATGTTGGACCCTATAGGGGTGTGGCACAGATCCCTACTACCATTGTCCGCGAGTTACTAGAATGTTTGAGCACAAAATTCAGCATGGAAACGGTTACGTGATGATCTTATACTTGCAGAATTTCAACTAAAAACCTGGTGCTACTGTTCCTTGCTTCGCCGCTCACGGCTCTGAATTCGCCCATGAAAAAGACTCTCCATTGGTGAAAAGGCTTTATTAGCAAGAAAATTGGTTTGTTATAAGTCGTTTGCATGTCCTAATCGATTTTTTTTGTACCGTATTCGCCCTATTTAGCGGACTTCCACGAAAAATAACAAGATAATACCGAAGTGTCAACAAAACCACAATTTGAAACCAAAATCAATAAAACCAGGGCAAAATAGGATCAAGGTAAAGATTTACATTGAGACCCCTGAAAAGTACATTGCGAATAAGACCAGGTGTTCCGGAAGTGTAAGCGTCTTCTGCTTCATCTCTGACACCCGCCATGTATATCGAAATCGAATCCAAGTAATGCGATGACTCGGGTAGCGACAACAAAACCACAGCGCCCTCTAGTGACCAAACCAAAAATCTCGACCTTCATATCAAACAAAGAAACAGCATATTTTAACATCTAAAGCTTTTTCCATATTCGTTTGAGACTTATCGCAGGACTTTCACCGTTAATACGTAAAAGTTCTGTATTAGATAGTACATATGGAACCACGTGGGGCATATGTATCAATGTTTGCTCATCGCATGTGTGTTTGTCTATTTACTTTACTGCGGTCTTCTCTTTGTATACGAATACTTTCAAATAAAAAGTAAACAGTAATGATTGATGTATGGGTAGGAGTGTTCAAAAGATTATAACAAAGCGATAACTTCGGGTTAGATTTAAATTCACGCCCATGATTGATATTACTCACTCTAAACAAATACACTGAAGTACTGCAACACAATAAATCCCGCAATCATTGGAAACAATATTGGTACCGGGTACGTGTTCCCATCACATCGTCTAGCCACAGTACTTATAGGTACTTATACCCATCACATTGTCTAGCCACAGTACTTATAGGATGTTCTGTTCGCCACATCTTATTTTTAGGGTGTCTCAAAATTCAGGTAAATTTGTTACACTACATGTATTAGCTCACTTGGTCCGGAGGACGTATCGCGGCGTCCGTCGTCCGTTAGGTTCACCAATATGCATTTTAAGTGGCTCATAAGCCTAGTGACTGTGTTACGGTACATTTATAATGTCTCATAAGCCTGTTGAATTAAAACTTACCATTTAAGGTATCTCAAAAACCAGACAATGTTGTTACGGTTCATTTATATAGTGTCTCATTAGCCATGTGAGTTTATTACTGCTTTGTTAATGTGTCCCAGAAAATGGTTATTTTTTAACGGGATATTTATAAGCCAGGTTAGTGTATAACTATGCAATTTAAGTTTCTCAAAAGTCAAATAAATGTCACGGTACATATTTATTGTCTCATAAGACAGGTGAGTAGTTCAAGGTTGCTTCCAACGCCAGGTATATTTGTTAAGGTACATTATTTTTATTGCACACCTATTGCTCGCCAATCAAACATTAGCCAAACGAGCATTCATTTAATAATCGTTGAGCAGGCGAGCACGTTGCTGAACTTCGCCAGGCGAGTCAAACAGCAACTGTATTATCTCATTATTCAAAACGTGCGCTGACACAACCACTAGGGGAGGATGGGTGTTAAGTCGTCAAGCTCTCGTTACCTATTCGCACAAGACTTGAATTTGCCCTTGAATTCACAACTTGTAAAATTTCAATAAGGTAAACAACCGTTATGCAGGTCTACTTACTTGCTGAAACCTGATACAGTGTGTCTGCCCAGTGATCCAGACGGGATATAATTGTATACAACATCAGACAATACCCCTATATCAGCACCAGGAGTAACGATCACGTGTCTGTAACCGCTATACTATCATAAACTTTAAACACAAGACATTAAAACGACAATTAACATTTTATTGTATATATTGACTGAATAATACACTGTATATGACTGCTGGGTATTTAAAGCCTTGTTACTGCTGGTTACTGTAAACCACACATTTTGACCGATTTTTTTTTCTATTTTCGGGTTCATTTTCGAGTATATTACGTCGCCCCTCAGATTGAAATGACTTGATGTGGACCTTTTAAGCAATTAATAGAAAAATGTGTTCATTGTGCAAACAACTTTAAGATATATTGCCGGTATTCTGCAAGGCCTTTGAGAAGTTGCTGAAGTTAATGCACAAACAAGTTTGAGCTCTATTTGCTGTCCAGGAAAACTGTTGCTGTGTTGAAGTCGATGTACACACTTCCTTGGAGTACTATTTTTTCCAATAAAATGTTCAAACATGATCGTATTTACCTTCTTTGTAGTAGTTTTATCAGATGTATATTGTCCATTCACACAAATCAGTAAGACCAGTAAGATCCATACAAGATCACTTACATACATCACATTATTCTCATTTTGGGTTTTTGGATTCTGAAGGTAGTTCTTGACATTCTTAAGAGATGCTTTAGATTTCAAAATATGACTTTTTGTACCATAAAGGCTCAAGTTAGGTTTCTACATATGTTTTTTGTGTTCTCGAAGTTGTCATGGATAGTCCACAACTTGGAATCATTGACGATGTTGTAATCTACGGTTTTGGATGTTATTGTTAATTCTAAATGGTTCTGTGCAAATTTGTGGCGGAATAAACCGGGTATGGGTCAGATTTATCCCCACATACATCAGATTCAGTATACTCTGTACATGTACAGGTGTATACGTTAGTGTGTCAATGTCACCGGACTGGTCACACTAAGTAGGTGCTGGCTAACATAGGGAATTAGTTAGTAAGTTAACTGGTGATGTTGTGTTATTGTTTCATTAATGAACGTCCATTGTGTGTAGACTGACTTATCCACGTTAGGACACGACAGAACCAATACCAGACTGTCTACAACGTACGAGGGAAAATTTTAAAGTTTCAGCAGCTTTTAATTGAGATATATTTTCATATTCAATGTAAATAAAATATTTCTTAGTTTCGACGTGCTCAGCGGTAAGAGTCAAATGAAAAACAAACAAAAAAACCGTAGAGAGATGGATATTTCCACAGGGACCTGAGATTTATTACAGCTTTTAGGCTATAGTCCTAAACTAAAGTTTTCAGAGTTTAAACGTTTTAGGGGTTAAGAGCAACTTTCGGTAAAAATGCCAACCAATGATCCTAGTTAAGGTCCAAATATAGCTGTAACACATTCTCAGCTCCTTCTGGATAGTTTGATGAAATTGAGCGAGGTAGAATACACCATATTTTCAGGCATTCTATTTTACACTATAACGTTTCTGTACGTCGTGAGATTAGTTGTACAATTAGGAACTCTTCACAGAATCCGACTTCTCTGAAGGTCACCTTGATTTCATAGCAATATCCAGTTCCCATAACGATTCTGAAATCCATGTAATTTATTAGCTATGAGATAACTTTTATCTCTAAAACCATATGCTGCAATGCATGTTTGTTATTGAATATTCTATAAAACTTGATTTGTAAGGAGGGCATTCCAGTTCTTGCGGGCCATACGTCACAAACTATTGTGAATGGCTGATAACTATAGCTTCCCACTGGGCGCACTGCTGATACTCCGGGAATATTTTGGTCACAAATACGTTTCAATAACGAAATAATCGAAAAGAAATTATGCTAATCAGTTAACTTGTGTGTGGAATCAATACATCGAATTGGATACAATCCTTAATCATACTGGAACTCTTCACAGCGTGGAGGAAGAAAAGGTTGTGGATTGGCAGAACAGCTAACTTAAGAGGATTTGTCACACCGACGGAATACGGTTTTATAGAAACACTAATCAATAGGCAATCAGTATCCATCATGCTTAGTGCTAAAAGTAGGTATGAATGGTCTGTACGGCACCGGTTATATCTATACACAATACAACAGGAACTCTTCTTTGTGGAGGAAGAAATAGCCCGGGTACAGTCGTGGGAGCATTAAATTTGGACTGAAGATTGATAACGTGTAAGCCGAAAGTTATAGAAATTCGCATGCTTTTATGTATGTTTAGAAAATATAAGTAGATCACAGGAATGTGGTATCTTTGATTATTTTTAATGGGACTGGATTACAAATCGTACATCTGAAATCCCGTGTCGCCAAGTAAATAATGTTTGTGTACCACTGGTAGATGTATTATCACAGTAACTTCAAACGAGTTCATACCCACTGTCCAGCTGGGTATTTGGATACAACTCCTATACTAAATAGAAAGGCTGTATAGTCATTTAACAACTGAATTAAGACAGTATTTTCCCCTAATATGCTCAATTTGGTAGATCTAGAACTAATTAAAATAATTGTTTACACAGCAAAAACCGCTATAAATCTATTCAGTACTAGGTGTGAGGTTTGGTGAAAGTTTAGGCTATCGATCGGGTTTTATTTCTTCGGTATTAGCCATGTATCGAGATATTAAAAAAATAATGTTTCACATGATATGTAATAAATAAGTTCCATCAGCATTGTGTTTGTTTCCTGTTTCTCATGAATTGTGTTTTGAAAAAATAAAATAAAAAATGACTGGAGGTCTGATGTTTCGTATAGACTCAGCACTGGATAGCTCGTATCTCGGATAGACGGATCCAGACTTTACATGCCCCACATTAGTCGCCTCATACAATATCGTCAGGTCTATAAAACTTTCCCCGATATGTCACCTTAGCAGAAGAGCGATACTAAAGACCACGTGTCTCGGATATGACTCAATACTAG